ATTCCCACAAGAGATTGATCATCTGATGAATTAAAACACACATTTAATGAAAGAGAATTCATTATTTTTGGGCCCCCGTAATGCTGACAACAATATCCAGTCAAAGCTCGGTTTCCGAACGTCTCTGTTCTCGACCAAAACGGATTAAAATTTATTACATTGTTTATAATGGGAACCATGGTTTCGGTTTTCGAACAAATCGGTTTCTCGAACAGCCTTCTGGAACGGATTATGGTCGAAAACCGACGTATGACTGTATATAGAAGGTATCAATTCCAGGCAGAATATTTGACAGTTTTACAATCGCATTTGTTTGCTTTGGCCAATATTTTGCCAATTAATATTTGGGGATGGAGGGGGTTGAATGTCATTATCTGTGTTTTGCGTTGTAATGTGTTGACGGGTTAAAAAAAAAAAAAATCTGCCATTTACGCCGTTGTGGGAGTGAACACAGACAATTTACTCTCTGGCCAATGAAAGAGGCTCCACTCTCATTCTCTTTAAATTCGGAGCCCAAATTCTTTGATGTTGCGGAACGCAGAAATTGACGATGCAGATCATATAGAACGTCGGGGTCAAACCCCGTTATGCGGCATGTTTTCCATTCTGCCCGCTGGAACACGCCCGATTCAAATGATCAGCACATCAGCAAGCTCTGCAGGCGCCTGGTCACCATCCCGATCATTTGAATCGGGTGTGTCACGGCAGGGAGAGATGGAAAACATACCGCGCAATCTTCCAGCGTGCGGAGCAACACTCACGTGAGAGCGGTAGATGAAATATTTCCCACACTGTGGACATTTGTGAGCCACTCGCTGAGAATGTTGGGAAATACTGCAGTTGGCATCAGAGCGCGGCTGATCTGACGCATGTCCCGATTGGTTTGCGTCTTTCGCTCTGGTTGGGAAAGTCGATTAGAAAGACGTGTCAACTGCGGAAGGAGTGACATCGGGCATGAAAAGGCCTCACCCGTCGGCCTCCGGGTTCACACGAGTGACCGAATCGGCGACTGAGCTGAGGTCTGACATGGGTTCAGCCGGCGATGGCGTCTGGCTCGCCACAGTTTCCACTTTTTCACCTTCCATCATCACAGTTTCCTCCGCATTGTCATCCAGGGCGGGACTACCCGTGTCAGTGTGGGAATCTGATTGTACGCCGAGGTGAGGAGGCTCAGGATTGGTCAGCTTTGTGAGGAGAGGGTGGGACCAAACAGAGTGGAGGATGTTCTCACTGTCACAATCAACTACAAAAAAAAAAAAAAAAGAGACCAGTGTTTTTCCAAACGTGGCTTCAAACAAACAAGACGCACCGCCGGGTGGAGGATTTCTACCTGCGGGAATGACTTGACCTAAGCGACAGCTCTGATGACTCAAAAGTATTTTCAGGTCCTCCCTGTCAGCCAGACTGAGATAGTCAGCCAGGCCAGCGGGGGCAGCACTGAGCCATGACGCAGCCTGAAAAAAAAAACAAAAAAAAAACAATTGCCTAGAGTTTGTCCGCGTGGGTCATAATGAGCAGCATCTCTTGACAGTTTCTTGTGCAAATGGTGAGGGGGCGCATGAAGTCTGTTAGTCCATACCAGTTATTATTCCGTCCACTTTTTCCCCACAGCCTTCTCCTTCCACATCGCTCAACTCATCCAACCCATTCCAACTTGAAAAGATTCCGAATTTACAAAAAGTGCTCCCAGGTCACGAATCGGAGAGTACCTGTTTGAAGTCAGGGACGGGAAAAAGCTGCTCCAGTCGGGCCAGGAAGTCGGAGAGAAGAGTCTGGAGGGCCTCGTCAAACGTGTGGTTGAAAACATCCTTCAAGAGCAAAGCCGACAAAAGAGCATGAAAGAACTCATCTTAAGCTGCGCCACCTTCTTCTTGATGCGACTCTGACCTGCAACAGGCCCTGTCTATCCACCGGGCTCGTTTTTTCACTTAGAATCAATAACGCGGAATCACAGTCGACCAGCTGGGTGCCTGCATTGAGCTGGGATGCAAAAAAGTAAATAAATCACAAAAGTGAAGCACAGTTCAGTCATGCCAAATTCGCAAGAGTGACGTTCACAAACACAAATTAATCAGGTTACTTTACACAATCACATTGGTCTTTCCGCTTTTCCCACACTTTTTTGTGAAGCCCCAGTTGACGTGCACTGGGGTAGACTCTCCAAATACTCTTTTTCGCTATCTTTCTATACTTATATGTGACCAATACAGTGCTGTTTCTCTTTATTTAAACACATCACGAAAGTGTGCAGGGTTATTTGGCCGGCTGGAACAGATTAGTGGGATATGCATTCATTTCAATGGGATATGAGTGATTTGAGTTACAAGCATGGCCATGGAATGAAGGCAACAATTCAGTTAAGGTGCTACGGAATCCACAAATAGTTTGGGGGGGTCCAGTTTTCAAAGTTTGATTAAAAAGTTTACATGTACTTTAAATGTTTGGTTTTTGGGCTGGGAGGGGGGCCAAGGAGGAGCGCGGGGGGGGTTCAGTGAAATAGGCTAAGTAGACCACAAAAATTAGTAGACAAAAAAATAATTCTGCCCGGAGCTACAAGGATAAATCTGTGAGTGACAGACTTTTTGAAGTTTGCGAAAATGCGCGAAAAATAAAACCTGCCACGAACTGATAGTGAACGCTGAAAGCGGAATGCGTGAGTCACTCACAGGTGCCGCAGAGATGGAGTGAATCCTGTCCTGGTACAGTTCCGCATCGTAAAGGCTCACCTGTGGTAAAAGAGGAAATGTTGAGGCTTGGATTTCTTGAAACCGCACCAGTATTGACATTAAGACGCACATGTGATTTCAGTGTTGTGAGAAAGACAAAAAAAAAAATCACAACCGCTGCTTTTTGTTGAAAAGGAAAAACAGAAAGAAGACAAAACGCAATTTGGAAATAAGAACCGGGCGATGATGAGACACACACCTGCGCCCTGAGCGCAAGCAGCAGCAGGCTCCTCTGTTTTTCCGTCAGCAACTGGGGAACCGCCTCCGTCATCAGAGACACAAAGTCTTCCAGAATCCCGTAATCCTTGACGCTCTTCTGCCGCGCCACCTGCCACATTGCCGCCGTCAGTAGACGAAGAGGGGGGACGAGGAGGCGCAGCGAGGGGGATGAGAGCGCAGCGGCTGCAGAGTCGGAGCACCAAAATAGAAAACAGAAGGCGAGTCAAAGGAGGCAAGTGAGAGGCGGAGCAGTTTTATTGTAACTTCACCCCCGCCGACATTTGACTCCATTTGACCAATCAGAGGAGCCACAGTCAGATTCTCGCAAAAATGTGAATATTTACTCAAAAGCAGACATCCATGCCAAGTAGATAGCTCTCCTTGCCCACACATGAGGGTATTGCCTCAACTAAAATACAATGTGTTTTGTTGTCCTTGTTCCTGATTGTAAAGTGTCCTTGGGTGTTTTGAAAGGCGCTTATAAATTAAATGTATTATTATTCTTATAATGAATATATGAGGCGGCACGGTGATTGACTGGTTGGCAAGGCCACCAAACAGTGCAGAGGTGCAGGGTTCAGTTCAAGGACCTGGCCTTCCTGTGTGGAGTTCGCATGTTCTCCCCGTGCCTGCGCGGGTTTTCTCCGGGTACTCCGGTTTCCTCCCACATTCCAAAAAACATCTGCGGTAGGTGACTTTATCACTCTTAAGTCGTCTTTAGGTGTGATCGTGAGTGTGAATGATTGTTTGTCTACGTGTGTCTTGAGTTTGCGTGGCAACCAATTCGGGGTGTGCCAAGCCTGATGTCTGAAGACAGCTGGTATAGACTCCAGCAAGCCCGCCACGCTCGTCAGGAAAAGCAACTCGCATGATGGATGGATGGGTGAATATGGCAAAGAATCAATGTGCTTGCAAACAATTGTTCTTGTTTCTGTCTGTGTGGACTCTTCCAGGTCATGGTAATCTCAAAGTTTGAGTAGAGGTCACTATACTCCTCTTTTTGTTGTTGATTTGTTGTGTTTTCTTTCTTGTTTTCCGAAAACGTCCAACAATGATGATGCTGACAATATATGTGAGGCACATATAAGCGAACGAGCTAATAACAATGGCACAAAGGAGTAAGCATGCTAAAACGAGACATTATTTCATAAAAAATGTCGATGACTCAAAGTATGACGGCTCCTATATCTAACTAACTGAATGTAAAAATCACCAAACTTTTTGATGTCTGATGTTTTGTTTTATGGCCCGTGAGTACAAGCGAGCAGACACAGTTGTATGCTAGTTGGCTAGCTACTTAGTCCGGAAAAGTGGCGATCTGTCAGGAAATACAATAAAAAATATAAACGCATCAACACGAACCCATTTTGCGTTTAAGTCACAGACTGGAAATTCAAGGGAGAAATAATGCTGACAAGTTCGCTGCCTTTATCATACAGCCCAACATTGCACCGCCATCATACCGGAAGTTTAAAATATGGTTGGAGTTCACATCCGGCCCGACGCACGTCGACGTGATGACGTTTGGGACAGCCCGGAACATTACTTGAGCGGAAGGCTGGTGTTCCGAAATAAAATTATAATATACCGCGCGTCTTTAAAAACCTTGTCCAATTTTCACATTTTTAAAGATGCGCTGTATGATTCTTGAATATTTTTTGCTTCTTTTACTGCATGAAGCTTCCAATGTCAGTTCTTGTCATTGATATGACATTCCTATTTATTTGGGGTTTTTTTATTATACAGTACAGTATTTCTACAGCCCGATGAGGCAACTTCAACTTTCAAAATGAAAAATTTGTTTCTTGTCCATGGTTAGAAGAGGATGACCCAGTTCTTCACAGCAAAATTGCATTATTTTTTGACTATCGACACTGAAGTGCAGTTGGCGACGGGTTAGCTCGTCCGCCTCACAGAGCAGAGGTGCAGGGTTCGATTCTGGCTCCGGCCATCAATTCATCACAAAACACATAGAGCTCCTACCTAAATTCAAAATAAGTCAACATTTGTACAACAATAACAAATAAATAAAATGTATCCGTTCGAACATTCAATACCTTGTCGTATTCAATTGAATATATTGAAAAGTGTGTCCCAACTTCTTTGGAATTTGGGTTTGTGGCTCAATACTGTGTACAATTATTGAGGCAAGCAAACTGTCGCATGACACTCCTTTCTCACCTTTGGGCCACTTTGACACAGATACACTAAACCAGCTTTATCCATCTTTGCCTAAATGGATTATCAGGCTTTTGGCGAAAGCAACACAAGCAAAGAGATTGAAGCAGGGGCAGCGCATTGTATGACTTTGTTACGACCAAGTTACCGCTACTGTGACCTTTTACGGGATGTCCATATTATAGGACCTGAAGGCTGGCCTGTTAATTACCCCCTAGTTAGGTGACCAGAACCTTTCTTGATTTCATGGATTCTGAAGACGAAGGCGAGGTCTTTGCAGTGGACCGGACCACTCTGATTTCAGAGGAGGAAGATGGAGACGCGGAGGAGGAAAACGAAGAGGAGGATGCCAAGATTTTCAACGCCTGGATGCAGCGCTACAGAGGTGGCGAGCAGCGGAAGACGACGGACGAGGAGCGGCAAGAAGGAAGCTCTGAAAGCACAATCGGGGCCGAGCCTGCGGCACGTCTTCAAACTGAGCGCCGATCATCGCTGCCGTGTCCGGTAACATGCAACCCGTAGAATTCTCCAGTTGCCGTACTGAATTGGATTTTTTTTTTTTTTTTCTTGACTTGATCATTCATTTCTCAGGCACCTTTTTACCTGAACTGGTTTCATTTAAAAACAAAAATGTGTACTTTTTATTTATTCCTCACTCCTTTATCAATACTTTTACCACTATCTTTTTTGACGCATCCGTCTCCGCTTCCAGCACAGTACATAGCATGAGTAGTGGTTGGTTCCAGTGAATAAGTTCCACTGTGATTGGTGTGTGCAGGCGACCCTGACGACCATGCAGCTTGCCCGTCTGCACTCGTGCACCCGGGCTCCTGTGACGGCTAAGACTCTGCTGCGCCGTTCCTCCTCTCGCCGCCTGCTGCCATCGCAGCAGGAGGGCGCCGCTTGCGCCCCTGCCGCCGAGAGAAGACCGTCTCTCATCCCCACCATCCCGGAGGCCAACATGCCTGAGAGAAAGAGCCAGTTTAGGAGACGCAACGTCATGTCTTTGGTGGGTGAGAAAGAGAGAGCTCTGGCTCCGAGTATATTTGCAAGGTCATACCTACCGAGCCTTTTTGTAATGATGTCCAAAAAGATCTACTTTGGGTTTATTGCCACCTATTAAAAGAAACAAATCTCTAATGCGCATGTTGGAAAATGTTCCTGATGAAGCCAATGCTGAACTTTTTGGCCATATAATTTGGCGAGGTGTTTTTGGTCCAACGAACACAACACTGCTCAGCACCAAAAGAACACCATATCCTAGAGCTTAAACAGGGTGGTGGGAGCCCACTGTTTCTCCTCCAGCTGGAAGTGGAGCATGCTAGAAAGCAACAACAAAAAGAAAAATATCAGCAAAAAGGCTTCTAGAACATCTGAATGTTATTTGGGGTTACAGTAATCGGAGGCACTTTTAAATGAGGGCAGGTGTGTGCAGACTCACATTTAACATGAGTTTAAATCCACATCCACAGTTATGAGAATGTCCACCACTGTGCATCTCACGTTTTTATTTTAAACTCCCCACCTGAAGAGATAACCCCCCTGACCCCCCCCCCCAAAAAAAAACATCAATTGAGATGTCCAGAAAAAATAAGCTGTCTCTGGCCCCACCGTGTCCCTCTCAATTGATAAACAAAAAAATCACTACGCCCGAGGCGGAAATGACTAAAGAGAGAAAGCGTGACTTCCGAGGCTGACATTGCAAACCCGGCCTTAAATGTTCTCACGTTTGAATTGTTTTGCGTACAAGAACAGAAGTCTGCTTGTGTGTACTGCAGAGCGATGCAGATAGCATGTGCCTGATCTGCCACCACGACCTGAACCGAGCAGCCGGCAGTGTCCGAGAGCTTCAGTGCACACACACCTTCCACAGAGAGGTAACGACCAAATGAAGTCAGCAACTGCCACTTCTTATATGAAATGAGGCCGACGCTAATGTTCACCAAAAAGACAAATTTGTGCTTCCTGTTGTGTCTTTACACAATAAGGCAAACATGGTGAATCAGCATTGAGCTGTTATGCTGCACGCAAATGGAATAAGTTTCCAACAGAGGTGAAGTTAGCCCCAAGTGTCAATGCTTTTAAATTCAGGTTAAAGAGCATGCCCCCCCACACAACCCTCCATCTATGATTCATGTCTTAACTATGTGAAGCGCATTGAGTTACCTTGTGCATGAAATGTGCTCTATAAATAGGGCCGCCTCGCCTGACGGTATCTTTGCTATTGTTGGGTGAAATGGGCGTCTCTGTGTTTCAGTGTATAGAGGAATGGTTATGGAGGAAACAATCATGTCCTACCTGTCACGTCCAAGTGTTCACGCCGCAGCAGGCTGCCTACTGGAGCTCCACCAGGGTGATCGTGCCCTGAGAGACAAATCCACACCCGCTGGAGCTCCACCAGGAAGGCGTCAAGGCTGCAGCGGCCTTCGAAATCCCCACACATCAAGTCACAGTCACATGCTCAGCGGGGGACTGAATGAAAACCATATACAGGACTTGTGTGGGCACTGGGAGGCTTCCTTGATATTGGCAGTTATTTTATGGACATTTAAAGAATATCGATGACCACTTTTAATCATGACTGCTTCGAATAATAGTTGCGCGCTTCCATTTAATTTGTTCTGATTTGTTGGCTCATTATCGCAAAACTGCTGTGAGCACATTGTGTAAATAAACAGGGAGCGCCGACTAATTCCGTAACCGCATAAACCGCGTGGCAAAAAACTGGCTTCATGCAGCTTTTCTGTGTTCTGTTTCTGTTTTACATTTACTTGTACCACTACATTATTAAAGTTAAGATTGCTAACATTGATTCCTAGCATGCTAACGTTCTGACGCTGTGTGGTTACTCACAGTTAAATGTGTGTGTGTGTGTGTGTGTGTGTTTGTGTGTGTGTGTGTCACATCACTCCTGTTCTTAACGCATTTTATATTTGACAAAAAATGTCATGTTTTTCTCAGAGCAAATTCCAGTGTGCTAGCTAGGGACCCTCACTAGCTAGCACGCTCAGAGCGCACTTGTTGGTGTGGTGGGAGGATAGCAGTACAGTATAGCAGTTAGCACACTTAACTCCCAATTGATAAAAGCAGGTTCAAATCCAGTATTGACAGTTTTTTAAGTTGTCATTGTCACAAATAGTCGTTTGGCTCTGTCAGGAACTTGCTTTGTGTGCTTATTGTAAAGGCCATCCTTCTCCAACTCTCACTCCGCCGCTCAAAACAACACCCCCCACAATGACGAATGCTGGGGGAGTCACGTCTGCATTATGGCGGGCTAAAATTAGCCCGCTAATGCTATTTAGAGGATAAGTGGCAGTACACTTTCAAACACGCAGCAAGAGACGATGGGATGATGAAGCGCATACCCTTTGGAAAACAAATATACCAAAGACTAAAATAGAGGAAGAAGAGGAGATGAGCACAAAAAAACTGCTGAAATATAGCAACAAAACCAAAAGTGACATTTAAAACAGATTTTTGTTTTCAATGTGGATTTCATGGCCATGTACCTCATTTACCACAGCCTGGTGACGGTTCCTCCTTCTTTATCAATGCTCTTAAATGGTGCGGAACTTGACATGATCTCCTCTCCTGGGTTAGAAGATGAGCGACGTGCTGAAGGAAATGTGCTGCCACAAGCTTGATGAACAAATGGTTCTTTATTGACATCAAGTGCCAGATTCAATTTGTAGTAGACAGCTGTATGCCAACATTCTATACCAAATGGGGTCTTAAAAAAAATACACCCATTCTTGTCATAGACTGTTTTGGTCCTTAATTTATCCGACAGTAGAGTCAGTCAGTTTGCAAGTCAGCCTAAACCCTGACCCCGCGTGTCAATGTTGGCTCCGCAGTTATGTGAGACATAACTGAACCAGATCTTAGCTCACAGTTAAAACAAAAACTAAGAATGACTTTAAGAAACTTCATGTTGATCCCACACTAAAATGGAGTCCATTGCACGGTAAATTAACGTTACTATAACTCTGTTGCGAAATAGCACGACTTTCAGATTTGCACTCATGGCACTCCGAAAACATTTGTTGTCGTTAAAATGTAAGGTGAATTCCTTGGCCTTGGCAAAAGAGTCAACAATCAGCTCGTTCCCTCAACTTGACCCCATCTGTGTTCTACAAACTGTCGTACGTGATTCCACAGGTTTCCAGGGTGAAACATCTTAACTTCTTCAGACCATCTCGTATTGGTTCGTGTTGATGAAGTGAGACAGACAGCAGGCCAACAACATGCCGACGAGCTGGGGCGCAGACAATGTTGTTTGTCACAATTGGTTCTATACAGTATTTTCCCGACAGTGGAACTTTGATTTACAAGATTGGTTACTAAAATATTTAGTTTGTATCTCAAGGCACCGACTGTTTTTTTTTTTTGGTTAGCATGGTTGTTGATACGATGCTAGCGTGAAAGACGGATGAGCACCTGAGAAAAGGCGATCCCGAAGGTGACCCCAGCGACGATTCCCATGTTGCTCTCGATGAAGGACGTCACCAGCTCATAACAGCCCTGCACGTCAGGCCGATTAGTTGTTGAAACATTTGTTCATTTTACCAGGGTGAACTTGTGACATCATCACCCGTCACCTGCTTGTGGACTTTGCGCGCCGCCACAGTGGCGTTCTTCAGGTCTCCCTCTTTGCAGTCGGAGAAAGTAACGCAGCAGCTGACTGGGATGCCCCCGGTTGCAAAGTAGTCGCTGGCGAACCAGGTGGTGTAGTTATGAACACCGCAGCATTGCAACTGCACAGACACGACAAAGCAAAATGACATGCGAGTTGACGCATTGTCGGCAGCATATCAGTCATTCCAGGATCGAAGGTCAGTTTAGCCAGCAACATTTTTGAAAAATGTAAAAGACAAAAAAAAAAAATAAGGAAGCTAGCATTGGCCAGCTAGCATGAGAGCTAGTAGCGGTGCGATGTTGTCTCACAAGTGAAAAAGTAATCGCACTCTGTATCCACTCATTGGATGTACCAATGAAATAAACAAAAGCTTTTGCGATAACTGCGAATGAGTCTTTTGTCAATAGTGGTACAGAGAAGATTGCTTCACAGAGGGATGAACGGATTGGGAAACCAAACCGCCACCTTCAGATTCTAGCTCACGTCTGGTTGGGAAAAGGTCGATGAGATTTCACCGTCAAGTATATCTAACCGACTGTACTGCTTTGTTTTGCTGCGTGCACAACCACGGACTTTACGCTGGACGTCGTCCACAGCCACGCTCCTGTCGCTCCGTCCGTCGTATCTCAGCACAGCCTCGCTGTACGTGGTGAGGAACGTGCCTTTGATCTGAACAAACACACACACACACAAACAAACGATCGCTCACTTTCACGGCAAGACCGGCTTATCAAATGGAAACGCTCGATTTCCGTTGCGGGGTTTGAACCTCGTGGCGGAAGATGAAGCCGGAGATTCCAGCGATGAGCTCAATCAGGAAGACCAAAGCCAGAAAGACGGCGTACTGTTGGGGTCAGACGCGCAAGCAGGCAGAGGTTCAGACGACACGTATGGCCATAGCGGCTCCAATTGTTCCTGTGCGTTTAACAACCCAAATGTTGAAAAGTGACACATGAAACCGACCGCTGTGATCTTCAAATAGCTTTTTACTTGATCTAGTATGCCGATGCTTGAGTTCAATGATTGAGGTCGTGCTTCAGACTGCAATTTTTGGAGAAACACTGCTCAAAATGACTGATATCGATAATAACAGACCAATACGCAAATAAAAAACACAGCCGCACACCAGGCGCTTGACCGTCACTGTCAAGGAAATCATCAGGAAATGGTGTTTTGAAGTAACACGTTTGCTTGGATTCTTGGTTTTTGGAATTAATCCATTCACAAAACTCTGAATTAAAAAACAAAATCACGTGGAAAAAAAAATCAATGTCACCAGTTTGAGCATCCAAGGGTTCCCCCTGCATGTGGCGAAGCAGCCGAAGAGGCCGAAGAGCACGATGGCAACGCCGGTGCCGGTGAGGACGAAGGGAGCGTTGGACGGTGCGCTGGAGATCAACAGCGTGTAAGGACTCAACATGAACCTCCACCACAAACCCACCGCGAGCAGGACCACACCTGTCACCTGTCAACAGAGGCGGGCAAAGTCCTCTCACAGAATGCACTACAGCAGATGGAAAGTTGAGATCGTGGCGAATGCGTTGGCGATTCAAAAAGGGCGACGATACGGCACGACAGATGCTACACTAGCATGGTGATGAACAAAACAGCGATCAATAGGTCAAAACCGTAACTTGGCAAATCCCAACGACAACCAGTTACACGCGGCATCAACAATACAGTGGTAGCTCTACTTACGAGCGTCTCTTCATACAAAATGTTAACTTATGAAACGCCTCAACAGGAAAATATTGTCTCTTGTTCCGAATGAAATTAAAAGATACGAAAGGTGAAAATACAGGATAGGCTGGTTGTCGCAGCTCCGAGTTTCCTGAACGCTACATCCTTAGAGCTGCTCTGTCATTGGCTATTATTGAGCATCATCCTGGCATCCCATTGGCTAAGAGGGACCTCTACCGTGTCTTTGCGTGTCGATAGATAAATGGATAGATAGATATCTGTCTTTGCAGCGCATCGTCATGAGGTCTAAATTATGATTTGCATTTTGTTTGTTTACTGAAATAAATGTTGAATCATTGTCATGATTCATGACTGACTGCAGTTTCAGTACAATAAGACAATGACATTAAAAAAAAAAAAAAAGTAGTCTGGGATCAGTCATTTCTACTTTTGGAGTCTTTCTCGAGATATGCGGGGAGTGGGGGGGGGGGGGCACTCCAATATACGTGTCCCGACACAGATGCGATTCAACAACAGTACATTGAGTAGGGGAGCAATTTGATTGATTGGGTTTGATTCAGTGGGATCCTTGTTTCATTTGATATTGTACGGCGGTCACTTTGGTCACGTTTATCCATTTGTAAAAGCAAGTAAATCTCTCAAAGTCCAAACTTTTCAGGTTTGTCGAATGTGAAGAAGCAACAAATCGTCAGCAATGTCAAATTGATACCAATTCATACCTGTAGTGCACATCTCGTCAAAGACGATTCCATACATTGCGGTATCGCGATCAAGACGCTGGGTGCGATACAATCCGAGAATATATTTGATCTTTTTCATTTCCATCAAAGTCAACTATCTAATTTTTTTTTTTTTTACAGGTTACACCAAGCATTGAGTACTGACTTGGTATATAAGCCGCGATCAAAACCGCATCATACCGGTGGATCGGTACAACAAAATTCAGGAATGTCCAAGTGGTCCCCCTGCATCCTTGCATTTCGCATACGGCCCCTGGAAGCAAAAGTTGCGACACGCCCGTGTCAGACGCCGGCTTCATTACCAAGTGGGTGAGATCGCTTCGCCCCGTCTCTCGTCATTCCTCAGATGATTCGGTGCCTGAACTCTGACCTCAGCTTTTTCATAAACTGCTTGGACCCCACCAGAAACAACGTCGCTCCCCAATTTGCTCTGCTAAAACTTGATCAGTCATTCTGCCAATGTTTCTTTGAAGCATTCAGCTCAAGATGAAAACAACAAACGACGGATTGCCAACTTTGTCTCACCCAGAAGATGAACGAGTAGAAGAGTAGCAGGATCTTCACGCAAACAATGAGCGGTTTGGTTTCCATCCTCCTCGGTGCCATCGCTCCGCTTTTTCTTTCTCTCTCTCTCTCTCTCGCTCTCTCTCTGGCCGTCAGACTTGAAGCGCACGCGAAGAGTAACTGGGACCTACTTTCCGTTTGGCAGCCGCGCGCATTCGCCTGCCATGCTCACATCTGAGCATGCCGGCGGCGCACGAGGCTTCATATGCTGGACAAGCTCATACTTCACACTCAGACCACACAATTAGCATCGGCGTGAAGCACGCCAAGCATCTCCGGCCACTGGGTGCCAACGTGCATCCTGATTTACGAGATTTCGATTCATTTCGCCTTCAGGAAAGGAGATACCATTCAAATGTTGTAGCTCCACACCCCAAAAAAACCCAAGCATTTTTGGAATCTGTTCTTTTTTGGGGGGGGGGGGGCGGGGGGATAAGAAAAATCGGACGTCGAACCTCGCTTCAACGTACCAAGTTTACGTTTTCACCCCGATGACGTTCACATTTCAAAGTCCCGATTTCACCGAATCCATTTTCCATTTGCCGATTTTGCTTACAACAAACACCTTTAGAATGTAAACTTCATTATAATGACCAGATTTCCCCCACAAAATAGCAAAAAGGCCTTCGTTGCGGCGAACCGTAGGAAGCGAGCCGCCGGCACGAACTTCCTGACGAACAAAATGTTCGCCACGGGATTTGCCTCCGTTGCTTAGCAACGCTCCTGATCGACTCGGTACAGACTGTGGTTGTATTTCCTGCTCTAACTCACGGAGGCATGGGCGTCGTCCGAAAAGATGTCTGGTGAGTCCTTTCCCCGTGTTTGTTCATTTTATTTTTTGTTGTTGTCGTTGACTTCTTTGCTGTAGCATTTTGCATAATTGCACATTCCTTGTTGCCTTTTTGTTTTTTGAGACTCCTGCGCTCACTGCTTCAATGTACTTGGGTCCTCCACACTGTGTTGCTGCACCGTTTTTGTTAAAAAATCAGTTGCTTAAAGGGTTAGATATGCGTTGGCCATTATGTGTTAGCATGAGCATCAAGCTAGGGGGTTAAAGGCTAAGCGACTCTACGTTGTTCTCTTAAATACGTGTAATTCTCCTAGTTAAAAGTTAAGTTTGACAGTAAACTAAAGTTTTTTTGTTATTTTTTTCAAAGAATTGACTGCCACAAATCCGGCACGTGGATCTCAAATAGTGTTTAATTCTTGTTTGCTTTATGTGTCAGTTTCTGAGTAAACATCATGTAGGAATGACAAATAAACAGCTCGAAGCACGTTCGCCTCTCATTTGGACAACTGTGCGGGCGGGCGAGCGACAATTCCAAATGTCAACGACCTCCCACAAAAAAAAAAAAAAAAAAAAAAAAAAAACGGTGGCGGTGAAAGTTCACCTGCACAGTGACACGGAATTACTTTTAGTCACACTTTTACGCGGAATGGAAGCCAGAGGGAGAGAGGCGCAAAAGCCGCAGTTGCTCCTGCTATAAACGATTTGTTCTTTCATTGACAATCACACATTTATAGTCCGACTGATTTTAAAGCGCTGCGATAAACGGTGCCGTAGCGATCAGTTGCGGTGTGACGGGAAGGTCTTTTCGGCGTCCGCTAACGTCCCCATCCTCTGCCCAATATATTTTGGTGGGTTCTTGAAGATCTCCTCCATATGCTGGCAGGCGGTTCAGGTTTCCAAAAAATTCAGACTTGGACAGACCAAGGTCGGAAGGTCCCGGGGTCTGCAGGGGGACACTGACACACAAAGATCGACTGTTGCTGATTTCCACAACAACTAGAAAATCCGTTCTGTCTGCCGATGGATTAAAAACATGTTATTTTTTTACCAATTTAGTGAAGCGGTCCTTGCAAGCGTTTCGTATCCGCTCTGCAGAGGCGGGGCTGTCCAACCTGAACGGGCCGGTGACGCCCGACTCGGCCCGCGCTGCACTAATGGCATCTTTGATGGCAAAGAAAACGGATGAAGCCAGGAACAAAGGAGGCTCACCCACAGCCTGACCAAGAGAAGAACAACATTCATCAGCTTTGCCCAGCAAGTGAATGTACAATTCGGCTCGATTGAACCTTTCAGTTCAATGCATTTAGAGTTCACATTTAAGAACCGGTTGCAATTAGGAGACTTTTTTTCTTTTTTTGGGTGCAATACATACATGCGGCTAGTACAATGAACAGGTTGCACTGGTACAGAGGTGTCAAACTCATCACTCAGCATGAGACTTGATTTCTACTTTCTTCGCTATTAATTTAGTGTGATATTGTTTGTTGCTGTCCGAATTCTTTTTGCTCCACGTGCAACACTTTGTATACAGCGGCTCTTGTTTTCAAGTGCTCTAGAAATACAGATGATTTGAGTTCATAGGGGTTCGGCCACATCAAATATGGCGGAGACAGTCAGAACCAGGACACACGTCTATGGCTCAATCCATGATCGCTTATTGGTTGGACTAGTTTCAAGATTACAGTCTCCATAATTTCGAGCGCTTTATGGTCTTCTCAATTAAATGCAACAACGGACATAAAGTTTGGTTCATATTTGACCGGCTATTGATGTGCTAAGCTGTCAAGATAAGCCCGCTAGCTAGCTTGGCTTCACCATTAAAACAGCTAGCGCACCTGCGTCTGACAGAGGAAGTTTACTGTAGATGTTGTGTACCTTCGAGTGGCAAACCTTGCATTACGATCGTCTTCATGAAAGAGATAATCCGCCCATCCATTCCCATTTTTTCCATCATTTTAAGCGCGTCATGTGTGACAATTGCCCAACGAGTGACCCTTAGCCGACCGGTGGCACCCATGAGGCATAAAATGACTTTTCTTTCAAGGACAAAAGGCACATTCAAAGAAAGAAAATGTGATTTGACAAGAAAGTTTCAAGACATAAAACCGCCGAGTCGATTCGAGTCGACGACAGTCATTTGGCTCGAGTGCCCCACCTCTGGTGACAGTTACCTTGGAGGCGAAGATGGCCTTGTCGTGGGCTGCGTCACGAAGCAACGACACAGTAAGCTCGGTGGGTATGTCACCAAAGGCCGGGATCTTGTAAGAACCCGGACCCCGGGTGAGGAGGACGCCCTGGGGGGAATAGTGAAGTTCCTCCAGGGTGAAGAGACCCAGACCCTGCATGAACGCCCCCTCCACCTTGACACAAATAGACAACATTTGCAGCCGCCCGCAAAGAATAAAACATCTTGAATTTGTCGACTTGCTAACGTACTTGTCCGATGTCTATCGCGGGATTGAGGCTCACACCAACGTCCATTACAATGGTGGTGCTCAGGTTCTACATCAAGCACAAGTACAATGTCAGACTGATAGACAGTGGACACCAGAAATATCGAAAATTCATGTTTCATCGACACCTGTCAAAATGGAAATAAGTTTTGTTTTTGTTTTTTTTTAACCCCTCTAAACTGTTTTAAAAACCCCAATAAGCCTCCAATATGTGTTTCCCATGAAAAAAAAAAAAACGGTGAAAATAAACCCTTGAAAATACTGAGCCAAAAATATCTGCAAATAGGTGAATCCGTGGGTGAGGAACCGTGTGCGGGGGTTCACCGTTCTGGTCATTGAAACATTTCAACTCCTCCCAGCTAATTAGTATGACACTACTACTACTACTGTTCTTGGCAGAGGACAAAGAACATGAATGGGTACTGATAAATTGTCCGTCTACATATGTTGCTGTACCGTTTGTGTTCAATGCATTGCTGAAATGATGATAGCATTGCAACACAACATAAATGTGAATTAGCTTCATCATTCAGCTCGTGAAATAAGAGGCTAATACAAAAAGTGGAATTCTCCAAAGTGTTTCTCAAATGTTTGCTACCGAATCAAAGCAAGAAAAAAAAAATCAGCAGACTGATGGCTCTACCTCCCGGGTCCCTTGTCTTTCAAGGCACCGCAGTATATCCTTGCTATACCCTACTATACAATACAATACAATACATCCTGATTTATATAGACTAGTCAACAAGTTTTCTGCATAAATTTGTGGTAGATTGACACAGGATATTGTTCGGGTGATTCTGTTTGTGACCAACAGGTGGCACTGTAGGGCTCCTCCTGCAGTTTCCAACAGGTGGCACTGTAGGGCTCCTCCTGCAGTGTCACACCTATTGGTCATTGTGTCATTAGTTCGTGTTGTGTTAAAAAGGACTCCCTACCCAACCAGTCGGTATCGGGTCATTGTTGCTGTCGTGTGCGTCTCTGTGCATGTGTCATCTTTTTGTTTTCTGTTGTAGGTTTGTTTGCTACTTTGTTTCCGGAGATTTTCTGGATTTTATTTGAGTGAGTCTTTGAGTTAGTTTCTCCTGTTTGCGTTTTTTGTGAAATACATCTCGGTCAGACACCCTGCTCCTCGCTGCTTTTCGGGGTCCTCCTCTACGCGACCATCACGCAAAACGTAACAGATGTAGCATCTCAGAAAGCATTCCCCTTGTGACCTTGTGAGCTCCGGTCAAGCAGTCGATTTCCACTTCAGAACAGGCGACCCCGTAGCTGAAATAGTTGAACACTCGGCCAGAGTTGGTTTCAAAGTCGTATCCCAGTTCTGGCGTCCTAACACAAGACAGGCAACAGTGAGATCGGCCTCGTCCAAACGACGACAGCGCACGGCTCAAACACGGACCCACTTGTAAAAGCCGTTGGCACTCAGGTTGACTCTGTCAAAGTACGCCGCTTTGACCTGAAACACAAAGGAAGCCACTCAATGGCGGCAAAGCTTTCGGCCAAGTCACGCTCGGAATGACGCGCACCCAGTCTTCCCATGATCCTTTGGGGTTTTTGATCTTGTAGGGTTCAAGGCGCTCGTTGAGGAGCTGGCAGGCATTTCTCACAGCAGCTCCGTTGAGGTCCGAGGAGGCTGAAGCAGCAGTCGGACTTGCATTCGGGACCGTTTGGGTGCTGGTCTCCGATATGTGGATCTTTGAGCAGGGAATGCCGAGAACTCGACTGGCCACCTGGAACAGTCGAATTTTGTTAAAAAAAAACTCTCTGCCGCCGAAATGACCGTCATAACCGCGGTTGCTCTGTCTCTGAACGACCTGAACCATCTTGGTGTGGAGTCCCTGTCCCATTTCTGTCCCGCCATGAGTCAGGAGGACCGACCCGTCCGTGTAGATGTGAACGAGCGCTCCAGCCTGTCGACACAAAACAAATGTCAATCAAAGCGTCGTTTTATTGTGCATCCATCATTCGATTGCTGTTACTCATCTGACCATCCATCTATAGCGTGTATTGTATCATTCAATACATAGCTAGCGCTTTCTCTCTCTCTCTCTCTCTCTCCAGCCCATCGCAGGGCACACAGAGACCAACAACCATCGGCATTCACACTCACACCGAGGGACAATTTTGAGTGTTCAATCAGCCTGTCATGCATGTTTTCGGAATGTTGGAGGAAACCGGAGTACCCGGAGAAAACCCACACGCGCACGGGGGAGAACATGCAAAATCCACACAGGAAGGCCAGGGCCGGAATTGAACCCTGCACCTCTGAACTGTGAGATTGACGCGCTAACCACTCGACCATCGGGCCGCCTCTCTTTCTCTTTCTCTGCGCGTGTGTGTGTGCGTGTGTGTGTGTGTGTGTGTGTGTGTGTGTGTGTGAGACGCTATGAAATGAATGTGAGACGCTATGAAATGAAGACCAAAGACTGTTGGAAATCAATTCTTTCCACTTTTTCAAGTTGTAAATGTCGTTCCGTGCGTCTGATCTCGTTTGGGCCGGCATAGATGGCTTTGAACGTGCAAGCGGCACATACCTGGTTCAGAAAAGTCGCGGTGAAGCTGATGCCGAATTTGGTCGGTATGACGGCGAGGCCTCGTTTGGTCCATCGGTTCTGCCTGGCGGAAAGGGAGCGACTTGTTTGAAGGCGACAACCTTTTGACGTGGCAATAACGCCTTCCCACCTGTTGTAAAGGTCGACGGCAGCTTTCCGCTGCTGGTACCGCGAGCGGGACAGGCACTCATCCCAGCACCGATCCAAAGTGTACTGTTCCAGGACCTGGTTGAACGGTGTTACCTCGCCTTGTTGATAAAGGTTGAGGCGTCGAACCTGCAACACGAAGAGACGGTCCCGCCAACACCCCCTTCCCATAAGTTTGACGTTTTTCAGCAGGAAATCGACAGACCTTGTCGGCCGGCCAGCCCAGGCTATGAGCCACGTCGTTGATCCAGCTCTCGGCAATCATCATGCCTTGGGGACCTCCGAAGCCTCTGAAGGCCGTATTGGACGGCAGGTTGGTGCGGCATAAAAAGCCGCGACCACGCACGTTTGGAACGCTGTACGAGTTCTCCATGTGGAACAGAGCGCGCTCCATGACCTCGACGACAAAAGCATCAGGTGAGGGAACGACGTCGATGCATCATCACGACCGTGCGTGGCGAGGGATACTCACTGCCAGAGAGAGGTCAAGGGAGTTTCCCACGTTGCTGTAGAACGACACATCCAGGGCCACCAACTTCCCGCTCTTCAGAAAGCCCACCTTGAGGGAGGAAGGCGTGGTTTCAGTGCTTTCGTTTTAACGATGGGCTTGGAAAAGACGTGGGTGTGTGTGTGTGGTGGGTGGGGGTGGTCAAATAACGAGATAGCATCCGTTAGCTTCATGCTAAGTCTGAATGGAAAACCCCGTAGACGCCGGCTAACTAAGAGGGACTGTGTTGCAGTTGTGACCTTTGAAGCAAATGGTGTATGAAGCAACACATGTAGACATATAAAATAACAATACTCATTGGCCAACTTTTTATCCATCCATCTGTTTTCAAATCCGCTTTATCCTCCCAAGGGCCGCCGGAGCCTGCCCCATCTGTCTTCGGACAATAGGCACGGTACACCCTGAACTGGTCGCCAGCCAATCGCAGGGCACACACAGACAAACGACTATTCGCACTCACCATCACAGCGCGGGACAATTTGGAAGCAAATGGTGTATGAAGCAACACATGTAGACATTTCAAATAACAATACTCATTGGCCTACTTTTTATCCATCCATCCATTTTCAAATCCGCTTTATCCTCCCAAGGGCCGCCGGAGCCTGCCCCATCTGTCTTCGGACAATAGGCACGGTACACCCTGAACTGGTCGCCAGCCAATCGCAGGGCACACACAGACAAACGACTATTCGCACTCACCATCACAGCGCGGGACAATTTGGAGTGTTCCATTAACCTGCCACACGTGTTTTTGGAACGTGGGAGGAAAGCGGAGTACCCGGAGAAAACCCACGCAGGCACGGGGAGAACATGCAAATCCCACACACAAAGGCCGAGGCCTGGAATCGAACCCTGCTTTGATTGCAGCGATTGCCTCACTTGGTTGTGAAAGTGAAGGCTACCACGAATTTTGTCCGGGCCTGTTCCATTCGTTTGTTTTGAACCGTACTTCAAAAGCAATGCCCGATGTTCACTGGTTCATTTTCATCCAAGTTTTATGTATAATTCCTTTTGTCAGCTGCGCGATTGACTGGCAACCGGTTCAGGGTGTCCCCAGCCTACTACCCGGAGTCAGCTGGGAAGGTCTCCAGCACCCTCTGCGACCTTTGTGAGTATAAGCGGATCAGAAAATGGATGGATGGATGGACTTGTGTCAGAAGTTTTATCTGTGACCACTGTATTTTTTTTCTTTCATTGACAGATGAGTGCCAACAGTGTTGTCCGCATGTGCATGAATGTTATAATATATGAGGAGTGCGGTTCTGAACTTGTTCAATCTGTTAGGAGCCTTGAAACGGTGCCTTTGTACCTTATACTTTCCGTAGAACGGGTGCCTTCCTCCGGTGATCAACATGTCTTCATCTCTGTCTAACATGCACCTGACGGGTCGTCGCAATCTGGTGCGCAAACAGAAAAACGTGTCGGCGTGAAAGCAACGAGGCTGCACGAGAAGAGACCGACGGACGTACTTGCGTGCTGCTACGGAGACCACCGTGGACAGTAAGGTGGTCCGACTTTCTTTCCCGCCGAAGCCTCCGCCCATCCTTTTGACCCGGACCACCACCCTGTTGGCGGGGATGCCCAAAGCCTTGGCCACCAGAGACTGCCGTGCAAAACAATCCAAGCCTCGGTCAAATGGTCAAAGCTTCTCGCCAAAGTTTTCCCTCACCTGCGCCTCGGAGGGATTCTGAGTGGAGGTAAAGAGCTCCATTTCGTCGTCTTCCCCTCGAGGGACAGCCACTGTCACGTTGGTCTCCAGGTAGAAATGTTCCTGACCGCCGATGTGCATCTCACCTGTCAGTCAGTCAGATGGTAACTCATTCACTCCCAAAGACGTTTTTAAACGTCTTTTCAGACTTGGTCTACAATTGGCTGGTACTGAATGAGGTAATATGAGCAGCCGGATCAAGTCCGTTTTGCATTCGCGGGCTCACGATTTCACCTTCCAGGATGTGGTCTGCCTGTTTGAATCCTTCCTCCAGGTCCCCCTTCTGAAGTGTTCTGATTGGCTGATAGAAGGACTGGGCGGCAATGGCTTCCTGTCAAGCAGACAAAGAAGCTTTCCAGAAGAACGTTTTGGAAAGGCCAGAAAAAAAAAATGTCATCCGACATAATGCGTGTTCGGCAATGCAGTTTTGCAGCTTCTGAACGATCTTCCGACTGACATGCAGCCAGTCAACCAGAAGGAGCCGCGTTGCCAAAACTCATTTCAACTCTGCGTTCGCTTGCGTCTTGATCATTTCAGCGCACGACGACAATTGGTGCCATCGGATCCGAGGTGCTCTAACCTGTATGGTGACAATAGGCTGCAGCTCCTCATATTGGATCCTGACGGCTTTGGCGGCTCGCTGGGCATGAAGCTGAGTGTCAGCCACAACGGCGCCAACGATGTGACCCACACATGTGACCTGCGTCGTGAGAAGTGTCAACCGAACGGCCAAATCAGAACGCGAGCCTCGCGAGTGACTAAGATGAACACTTACCTGGCCATCAGCAAGGACGGTCTCATCATGCTTGACCCCGCTGGCGTTGCTGCCGGGAATGTCGTCGGCGAAGACACAGCAAATGAAGCCGGGCGAACGCTCGGCTAATGACGAGTCGACGGAACTGCGGCGCAAAACCCGGGTCGACTTTCAACGATTCACTTTTAGTTGTTTCGATGGCGGTTTGTCAAAAATATTGCCAAAAACGGTCGGGGGCAGCTGGCGTGCATCATGTCTGAGCACGAGTGTGCCTCTGTGAATGAAGGGAGTCTTACAGGATGCGAGCATGCGCCTTGCTGCTTGTCACCAGCGCCAAGTAGACCTCGTTCTCAAACAGCGGGATGTCGTCGCAGTACACCGCCTCGCCCGTCGCCTGCTTCAGAGCGGAGAGGTGCATCATGGGATGGCCCACCACGTCATTTTGGGTCTGTGGCACCTCCTGCAGATGAAAGCATTCATTCGTTTTTTTTATTTTTTAAACATACGTGCTTCGTGGACAATGGGAAAATCATGCCTCGGTTGTTTGCTTGTACCTGGTAGATCTGAACGCTGGATGGCGTCTCGTGATGGTAAAGCTCTGTTGCACTCAAGAGATCAGATCTGACCTCTTCCACGTTCAGACCCTGACAGACGACCGAGCTCATGTTCAGTCTTTGAAAGATGATCGAGTAGACTGATGCTGTTTCTTGAAGTGAGGGACTCGAGTCACGTGGCTTGAGTCGGATCAGACTTGAGTCGGAGTTGGCTGCAGCAATTTTCGATGAAAATGGGAAAAGGGCAACGGCGACATCCAACGAAGCAACCGCTGCGCCTAACTTATAAATCCCACCAAGACAGTTGGCGTCACAGTTTTAGCTGTCACTTAGAAGACAATGAAGGTTTCTTGATGTTAGAGGAATCGACGGACAGAATGATATCATGTTGAAAGTTCCATTTAATTTGGGCCTGTCTAGGCAGGTTCTGTATTGAGTACCCCCAAATGTCTGCGCAAGGGTGTCGGGCCATCCGGACGGGGGGATCTTACAGTAATCACATTACTGCAAGAGTGCGAACAGATAGAAAGAGGCTCGACTCGGTAAACAGTTTAGGAACGAAGTGTTTCAGAACATCAAAGGACGGTCTGGGAACCGGTCGCAGCCCCCGGCGACCATTTGTCATCTGCAAAGTCTGCGACTTGTTTATTCGTGAGAGACGGTGTGAAAGTATCTGCGGTTCGAAGCTTGATAAAAGCTAATCACGTCGCCGACCGAGGGGCCGGACTGGGGGCGTGGTCTGCAAATATCGGGGGGGTGGGCAGTGTCTTGCTTGTATTTTGCATATGTAAACAATAAAAGACCGGCGAGGAACACGAGAGACTTTGAATGTGATCACGGAGCGACTGCTCGCCGTTCGCTTTGAGAGATCCATTCCCGTCGGACTGCACTAACAACCTCCCCTGAGTCGAGTTCTTTTGTTCAAATTTGTCCGGGTATAAGTCTGACACTTGACAACAACAATTCGGAGACGAGTTAGGTCTGCGAAGCGGCACGTTGGGTACCTGCCCTCGGAGCTTCTGCAGCACTGTCAGGTAGAACTTGTAGAACAGGCTGAGGGTCAAAGTTCGCCGGTATGTCACCATGCCGCCCGGCGCTGAGGGATCCAAGGTCATTTCCTCTGCCAATGAGGAGCAAGCTTCTGCCAGCAGCTCCTCCCCCCAGCATCTGGATGACATCGGAGGGTGGAACGCTCCCTCTTCCTTCCGCGATTCATTTCTGTGGCAGGCGCTTTTTACCGTCCCAACAGTTTGGCCGCCGTATTTTTGGCAAGCACCGTGGTCGCCGCCATGCCGCCGTAGCTCAGCCTGGCATCCTCCACGACGCACGTCCCGGGTGTGAAAGTCACGCTCATGGCGGCGGTGACGATGCTGATGTCGTCCTCTCGGCGAGGTGACTGCTTGAAGGCTGACACAAACTGATTCTAGGGAGGACGAGCAGAAACAGTCGCCACAGAAATGCTTGGGGGAAATGACAGGAATGATGTGGAAGGGTACTTGTTCTTTTTTGACTTTGCGAGTCGTTTTTACTTTCGCAAGACCCGAGTGTGAGTGGGAGTATAACCCTGCTAGGTGACCAATTGATACCTGGTTACTCTTTCAATCGCGTTCTCGTTTGTCCATCCAGGCATCCACTATTGCTTATCCGGGGTCGGGTCGCGGGTGCGGTAGCTTTAGTAGGGAAGCCCAGACTTCCCTCTCCCCAGCCACTTCTTCGAGCTCTTCCCGGCGGATCCTGAGGCATTCCCAGGCCAGCTGGGTGACATAGTCTCTCCAGCGTGTCCCGGGTCGTCCCCCGGGCCTCATGCCGGTGGGACATGCCCGGAACACCTCACAAGGGAGGCATCCAGGAGGCATTCTAATCAGATGCCCGAGCCACCTCATCTGGCTCCTCTCTGAGCCCCTCTCGGATGACCGAGCTTCTCACCTTATCTCTAAGGGAGAGCCCAGACACCCTGCTGAGAAAACTCATTTCGGCCGCTTGTATCCGGGATCTCGTTCTTTCGGTCACAACCGGTAAATTGGCCAGTAAATTGAGAGCTTCGGCCTTTGGCTCAGCTCCTTCTTCACCACAACAGACCGATACAAAGTCCGCATTCTCGTTTGTTCGTTTTTTTTTGTTTGTTTGTTTTTTAAGGCTTTGGTTTCAGAGTGACGGAGAGCGGTTAGCTTGAGTGATGCATGTACCTTCCTGCTATAGGGAATCTCGATGGACAGCAGGATTTCTTGTGGTCGCAGCACAGTCCTCCTGTAACCCACAAAGAAACTGTCGTCCATCGGAACCACGCGGCTGCCATCTAATGAGCGGGAAGGGGAGAGGACAGGTCACAGGATAGGCTTCAGTACGTAGTCTTCATGTCACTTGGCGTACAAGAAGCATGCAGTTGTCAATTAGCGCAAAGTTTTGCCTTACGAGCAGTAACATGTAATTATTCTATGATCCATCCATCCATTTTCTGATCCGCTTTATCCTCACAAGAGTCGCGGGGGGTGCTGGAGCCTATCCCAGCCTGTCTTCGGGCAGCAGGCGGGGGACACCCTGAACCGGTTGCCAGCCAATCGCAGGGCCAACAACCATCCGCGCTCACACTCCCACCTCGGGACAATTAAGAATGTTCAATCAGCCTGCCATGCATGTTTTTGGAATGTGGGAGGAAACCGGAGTACCCGGAGAAAACCCACACATGCCCGGGGAGAACATGCAAACTCCACACAGGAAGGTTGGAGCCGTGATCGAACCCATGACCTCTGCACTGTGAGGTCGACGCGCAAACCACCCAACCAATTGTTCTACTAGTCCGTCTTAATTGTTGTCCAAGTATAGTTGCTCGTCTTCCTCCACGTGTGCCCCTGTCTCTCTATTTGTGCACTGCACGGCCTTATCGTTCTGCTTGTGCACGAGTCATGCTACAGTGCGAGGCAGTTGAGGAAGACAAAGTCGTTCTACTAGTGAGCTGTGATTGTTCTACTCGTGCACATTGGCCATTTTACCTCTGTCACGCAGTAGCGTAAAAGGCACAAGTGGAAGAAAAGCTCACCGAACTGTCCTATTCGGAGGACACAAATCTGAAGCAGAATTTCAAGTAAATACTCCAAACGTCTTTCAAAACACGCCGTCATTTTAACAAGGACACGTTCGGCTTCATCTCGCACGTTTGCTCTTGTGTCTTACCTTTGTCCATCAGTGTGACTTTGCAGGCGGCTGCCATGAAAACGGGATTCAGGTCTGATATGGGGCTGGCGGTCATGATGTTCCCACCGACGGCCTGAAATGCATCCAACACACCTTTTTGAAATATGCACGGAAAATCCCACTGTTACGACCCCCCTCTGGCTTTGAAAAGTAAATAATGACAATTTCAATGTAGTTCAGGCTGGGTTTGTGTTTTTTATTTTTTTATTTTATGATTTTGGCGATCTCGTTATTCATTTTATGCCCTGTTTCTGCCCCTCTTTGCCGCCCTGTGTGGCCGCATGCAACGCACACGCCAAAAAGCACCACCGGTGTCACCGAAAGGCTGAGCATCGGTTTCGTCATTTCCCGCGACGCTCCGCCCGCGCTCACCGCAACGTTGCGTATCTGCTGACCCGCAAACCAGCGCAACTGCTCCAGGATGGCGAGGAAGAACTGGGTCTGGTCGAGAGGGAGCTCATCCACCGCCTGTTTCAGTACATCACCCATTTGGGTGAGGGTGCACGCCGCCCCAAACACGATACCTGCAAACATGGCCCGCACGGCCTGGTGTTTATGACCACGTTTCCCTCTTCCATTTTTTTGGAGTTGAAAGTCAAGATCCGCCTTCGCAGTCACCCTCATCGGTGTGCGTCACTCTGTGGAGTTCCGGAATGAAGGCTGGAGCCAGAATGACCGGATACAACATATTCTTGAACTTTACTTCTATACCTACACACACACACACACACACACACACACACACACACGCACGCACGCACACAGTGAGCAGGTGGTTGAGAGACTGCGTCTGCGGTGTTTGAGTGCACGGGAGTGAACACGTACCCACTTCAGTGTTTCCCACCACCACTCGGGCATCAGGATGTTTCCATTTCAGACTCAGGAACTCGTCCAAGTCGGCGGGCTGCAGCCACATTGTCCTGTCGCTGCAAAAATGCAGCGAGCGAGTCTTCTGACTTTTGCTCAGGGACTACGTGGAGCAAAAGCGTAGACACATGAAAGAAAAAGGAATCAGGACTTAAACAGGAGGTCGGGTTCATTTTCTGGACCTGAGGGAATTGATGGAAATTGGTTTTGGGTGGGCTGAATAGCTGCAGCCGGTCGCCCTTTTTTTGGTTGGGTAGTGGAGTTGAAGTCAATTTCGGGTAACATTTTGAACAACACTCAGCGGGTAACAACTTTGAACACAAATTAAATAGTCTTGTCATACTGACCATTTAAAATGTAGAACAAAAAAGTGACTCTTGGAAAAAAAAAGAAGCAAATTCCTCCTTGAAGTACATTCCATAGTCTGAACTTCTTTTGCTTTTGTTTAAGATAATGAGTTGAATTTGTATATGTAGAGTCTTTCTTTGTCTTTTTTTTTGTAATAAAAGTGTCTGTAGTTCTACATCAGGACAGAGTGACAGCACTTTTGCCGACTCTGGTGCACGCTGCCGCTCGTGTGTGTTTTGTTTCTCACCATCAGCTCCGGAGGGAAGATGACCTCTTGCGTCGGGTCAAGCGGCGCAAAGTCAGCAGCGTTAAAGAGCCTCGAGGCCGCCTGAAAATGGAGCGCGCTGTCACTCCCCTCGCAAGAACGCGCCATCTTCAGAGTGAGACACACACACTTACGTCCACATCCGCCTCCTTCTCCTCGGCTCCCCCATTCGTCATACAGCAGCCGTTCTCTCGTCCCTTCCCTCCACAGCATCCGCCCTCCTACGGGGGACATCATCAACCGAATCTCGTGATTTTTCAACCACTGCGCCATGAGAAATCATCACGTGCGCCAATTTCAGTTCATTGACCCGAAAATGATTGATTTACTCCAAATCGTTCATCTATCACTTCAATGGGGAACGATGATGTGAGATGCGGGTGTTTTGAGTTAGGAGCGTGAATACAGAACAAATGAAACTTGTTTCTCGAGGCAACACTGCGTAGCGGGAAACTCGGGTCTAATCTGACAGTTCCTCACCACGGTGAAGGTCTTGTAGGCCTCCAGGATGGGCCGATATCCAGTGCAGCGGCAAAGGTTTCCTAAAAATGAGTACGTCGTTAAAATGAACCGCACATCAGATAATGACAGGTCCAGTAATTACATAGCCGTGCCCCCACTTCCCCTCACACACGACCCCCTGCTGGGATCGAGGGGGCGAATACTTTCACAGATGTCGGCTTGTAAAAGCTCATTTCGCGTATCTTCTAATGAAGTTACAAAGCGAATCGGCAGCTTGGACCTTCAGCGCAGCGGTTCGTGCTGTGCACTTGCGAGCGGGCGCCACCGGTCGCACACGTGCTGCTGCCGATAATAAAATAAAATTCAAACGGAAATCCATTTGGCAAACGGGGAGCAGACTAAGGACATCTCAGAAACTTCCAAAAAAATTGGACTCCGTTTTCACCTGCCTAAACGCAAATCAGGGAGCCCCCCTCTGAGGCCTGACCTGAAGGTGTGGCTCGATGGTGAGCACCTGGCGGCCCGCACCCACGCGGCAACGGAAGGGTAACGTAAGTCTTCATTCCCATTGGCTCACAGCCAGTGGGAGGGGCCAAAGTGGTCAGGTGTTGGGATGTGGCCGATGACCGGGATCTTGGGAAGACGTGGAATGTCAGCCGCCGGGTACCGGCTGGCCAAGAGGAACGCAGCTTCGGCAGTCATCCAGGCAAAATATTGGGCACCAGAGGAGTTTTCTGCTCCACCTTCTGGCGTCTCAGGACAGGGAAGCAGTGCAGCATCAACACTGCGCATGGTGGGGATCGGGCCTGCTGATCTCTCTGGGGAGGGCTCTCCTACCGACTATTTCCATCATGGCCGCCATTTCGTCACGTACCATCTTGCTTTCGACTGACGCTTGACACATTCAAACTACGACGGGAGAGAAAAAAGCTAAAATAACCTGGAAGCTATAGCCTGTTTTCTCACTGACCTTGGACAAATGACCTGCCAGAGCAGGGTTTGTTCCCGCTCAAGATTTTGCCACCCGGAATTGCCGCGCGTGTCAGTTCATGGTGAAACATCCTCTCCATTCCCTACCTTGGAAAGCCTCCTCCACGTCAGCCATTTTGGGGGTGGGGTTATTTCTGAGCAGAGTGTACATGGACATGACGAAACCCGGGGTGCAGAAACCGCACTGCGAGCCGTGGGCCTTTGCGATCCGCTCCTGAAGACGACACAAGAAATCGTGGGGTCAGCAACCTCTTCAAAACTCGTTTACGACTAAATATTTAACAAGGTAGGAAACAGACCAAGTACGAACACTTATTAAGAGTTTTTACATTTTAGACTGATGTGGATCGGATCTTTTACCTGAACGGGATGCAGCTGCCTCGCAACGCTGCCGATTCCTTCCACAGTGGTCACAGCAACCAGATGCAAGGAACAGATCGGGGCGAGGCAGGCGTTGACGGCATAATGACTGAGCGCAGTTAAGGACTCGTTCCCTGCGCCACAATCTGTCAGCTTGAAATCGGTTCGCGGCCCACGTCATTTGGGCAACATACGACTGACTGCGAGGGCGGGGCAGGATACAGCAGCTTTTGGGTGTGAAATCTGTCAGCTTGAAATCGGTTCGCGGCCCACGTCGTTTGGGCAACAAACGACTGCGTAGGCGGGGGGAGGATACAGCAGCTTTTGGGTGTGGGGTTGGTATTTGGACAGCATCACCGTGCACGCTCCGCAGCCACCTTCGGCGCAACCCAGCTTGGTCCCTGGTAGGCCCACTGAAAGAGACGACATCCAAATAGGTGGGCGCCACCAGGCATGACAAAGTCCTCAAAGGGTCACGAGGCAACAATTGATTCACGTCGTGTCCGAGTAGGACGGATCGATTTCCGCTGCCAATGAAATCAAGCAGCGTCACGTGAGAGGTTTGCGTGAGACCAAACGAGTGGTACATTCGTTCTGCCGAAACGGTAAAATGTGCAGAACGGCAGTCAAATTAAGATTGCATGTGACGCCGCACATGTGTCCTGTGATGGCAAGTCGTTCTTGGTGATTGTACCGAAAGTTTTTTCAAGTATCTGCTTTTTTTTTTTTTTTTTTTTGTTTTTTCTTTCTGATGACTACATTTGAAAACAGACGCGTCACCCCTGGCCATATCGCGGTTCGCCGTATCGCAGATTTTTTAAAGTTAAGTTGATTTGCATCGCCCAAACAAATCTCAAAGGGCTTCACAGGCCCACGGCTGACAAAGATCAGCGATCCGAACCAACCAACCAACCAACCGGGGAAGGAGAAACTAAAACCATCACGTGAGGAAAAAAAAAAGGAAACTTCCAAGAAGTATATTGCAGCATTTTTCCGTTACGGTAGACTCACAAAACGATAAGTGTGAACCAGGAGGAAAGATTGTGTAAAAGACTGAGAATGTTTTTTTGTTTTTAATTTTGGGATCATGTCACGCATTAAAAGAGGATAAAGTTCAGCGGGTCTACCGCAAAGCAGAGCTGGCTTGATAAAGTAAACATGAGTTAGCTAACCAATGTTTATTTGAAACGGCATCACAAAAGTTGGGGATGCCATAGTGCGCTGAAAACAAAAATGTCAAAGAAATCATCCACTACTTGATTTCAACTTCATTATAGCCGACTACAATTTTTTTTTCTTCAAATTTACACAATCATCTGTTCTACTTAAGCATAGAGCGTGAGTACTTCTGATGCTTTTGGTCTGATCCGAAGTGTGTGTGTGTGTGTGTGTGTGTGTGTGTGTGTGTGTGTGTGTGTGTGTGTGAGTGTGTGTGTGTGTGTGAGACGTACACTTCCTCCTCAGATAGGTGAGCAAGGTCATTTCGGGATCTGCATTTGTCTCCACAACCTGGAAAAACAACAACAACAAAAACTTGCACTGCTGAAATAACACATTTTAGCCTGACATGTGATGAAATGAAATCTAAGGCGGCATTGTGTTGAGCAGACGTTCCGGCCCAAAAAGTGAACAGTTATTCATTTACAGCCGCAGGCCTTTGTGCGGATCACACTGTCACCTGCTCTTTAACCACTGTCGCATTTACTGTCTTCAGTACAGTATTCTTCATTCACGAGTTAAAACCGTCACAAGTTATAAAACTCTTTACAAACAAGCACTTAAAAAAAAAAAAAGATATGAAGAAACTGGCTGTCAGCATTGACTTATGACTACATTTCATAACGCATGAGATGAGAGGACAGTAATGTCATTCAGTTCGGCATCTTTGCGCACTTTGACAAATACACTTTAATAACCCTTTCATGCACCTTGTAACCGGATTGTATGATAAACAGTCCACTGTAGTCCCTGAAAGGGTTCAGAGACAGAAATGCCATTTATGTGCGTGATACATGCGTGACTGTTGCGTGATGTGATGCGTGAGTCATGCTATGCTTCTATACTAATTGAACTTTTCGGCTCTTCATTTGCAGATGCAAATTAGCTACAAAGCTATCATCCTGGTAAAAAGCATCTCTCCTGTTGAATGTTTTCTGTACGTGGTCCCTGACAAGTAATTGCATACACGCAACATCTTACATTTGAGTAAACCGTTGTCATCATTATTCAAGTTAAATAAATGACATTGTTTACCTTTTTCCCATTCACGAAGAAGACGAGGTCGTCGGACGAGGACTGGCCACAGGTCGTCATGTTTCCGTCCAGTTCTCTTATGTTGTGAAACGTCTGTGTCCCCTCCAGAGTCTTCACTGATTCTCGGCGACGGGCGTCAGGAGGGGGCGTGTGGTTCTAGCGCCGCCCTCCTGCAGCAACCCAACAAGTTTCAAGTTTCATCTCTATTGGTCACATGCTCAGTTATGTACAGTAGGGCCCGTACTGAAATGCTTTTGTATCTTTGCAGGGTAAAGATCAATGCAAAAAAAAAAAAAAATACCCACATCAAATAATAGCAGCTTCATGGCCTATGGCAAGAAAGTTCTCCTCGGTCCTGCAGCATTGGCCCAGAGTGCCCTGTCAGTTGTCTGACAGAGGGTAAAGGCTTTCTGTACCGGAGTGCTGAGGTGGCATGACCAAGAAAGGCCCAGGAAGATTTTGGTGCAGATTTACCTGGAAGATTTCCAAACGATGATGAGTGGAATCAAGCTCCTCTTCCGCTTGTGGAGAAATCCACTCTGAGCATCTTGGTTTTGTTGGTGTTCAGCTCAAGGTGACGGATGGGTGATTTTAGTCGTGACCATCAGGAAACTTGATTATAATTTTGGAGTGTGAGATGCCCTTGCAATGGGGGTAGAGGGAATACGGCAGGGGGCTCAGTACACAGCCTTGGGGTGCTCCGGGGATGAGGGAGGATGAAGTGTGGAGACTCAAACGCACTACCTGTGGTCTGTGGGTCAGGAAATTGAGGATCCACTTGTAGGAGGAAGGGCACAGATAGAGGTCATCTAGAAAGGGATTATGAGAAATCGTAGTTGATGAGAAGCTGTCCAAAGTAGCGCCTTTTCCGGTGCTGCTGAATATATATTCCATAAATGCCACAGTAATCAGAATGCCGTGCTTGGACTAGTGGGGGGCGCATCGAACGTATCACTGTAAAGATTTTTTTTTTTTTACTTGACTTCCTCTTTAAGATTTCGGCGCAATCGGAGGCTAGCCGGTCTACACAGGTTGGGAGGACTCACCCCGTAATCCCTGGAGCGACAGCCTTCCACTGGTTCACCTGCTTGACTGTGCACCTCATGTCAACAAGTCATCAAATAGCAAGATGGGAAACAACAACAGCGAAATCTAGAACGTTGATGGGGCAACCGACTGTGTCCTGATTCAATTTGACTTAAATGGCCCAAAAAGGATTATTCACGACAAATAATGCCATTTTATTTATCTTGCTAGGCCAGCAAAGTACAGTGAGAGGCAAAATGCTTCTCCACTCCTCTGTCGTGAGTTCAATGCCCTGTCAGTTGTCTGACAGAGGGTAAAGGCTTTCTGTACCGGAGTGCTGAGGCGGCATGACCAAGAAAGGCCCAGGAAGATTTTGGTGCAGATTTACCTGGAAGATTTCCAAACGATGATGAGTGGAATCAAGCTCCTCTTCCGCTTGTGGAGAAATCCACTCTGAGCATCTTGGTTTTGTTGGTGTTCAGCTCAAGGTGACGGATGGGTGATTTTAGTCGTGACCATCAGGAAACTTGATTATAATTTTGGAGTGTAGAGGGAATACGGCAGGGGGCTCAGTACACAGCCTTGGGGTGCTCCGGGGATGAGGGAGGATGAAGTGTGGAGACTCAAACGCACTACCTGTGGTCTGTCGGTCAGGAAATTGAGGATCCACTTGTAAGAGGAAGGGCACAGACAGAGGTCATCTAGAAAGGGATTATGGGAAATCGTAGTTGATGAGAAGCTGTCCAAAGTAGCGCCTTTTCCGGTGCTGCTGAATATATATTCCATAAATGCCACAGTACCGTAATCAGAATGCCGTGCGTGGACTAGTGGGGGGCGCATTGAACGTATCACTGTAAAGATTTTTTTTTTTTTTACTTGACTTCCTCTTTAAGATGGCGCTTAGCCGGTCTACGCAGGTTGTGAGGACTCACCCCGTAATCCCTGGAGCGGCAGCCTTCCACTGGTTCATCTGCTTGACTATGTACCTCATGTCAACAAGTCATCAAATAGCAAGATGGGGAAACAACAATGGCGAAATCTAGAAGGTTGATGGGGCAACCTACTGTGTCCTGATTCAATTTGACTTAAATGGCCCAAAAAGGATTATTCACGACAAATAATGCCATTTTATTTATCTTGCTAGGCCAGCAAAGTACAGTGAGAGGCAAAATGCTTCTCCACTCCTCTGTCGTGAGTTCAATCGTTTCCATTCATCCAACCAAAGACTAGCTTTGCATTTACTTGAACGGGCCCAGCAGATCTCACACACAAAGAAGAGCGTCACCTGGAATCCGTCTCACCGCTTGGTAAAACTGATCGGGCGCTGCAGGAGAACTTTGACACCTGGAAGATCTTGGGAACTGTATAATTATTTACAGTTGGCCCCGTGTCTGGAGACAAAGGTCCAAAAACATCGCCGGCTCTCTCATGTGAATCTGTTTATAGTCGAGGTGCGGAAAGTTAAAGAATCCAGTCAAAGTACAGTTAACTCTTACATCACAGTTTTGACATTTTACAGCAGGAAGATTGGCGGGACCTTTCCCCAAGCGAGCCAAAATACACCAACACGAAAGTATTTTAAAATGTCATTCTTTGCTAAAGCAGCAACACAGATTGTGCACTGTGGGGTTATTTGGGTTCAAATGTGACCCGTGTGCACTAAAACAGATGTGACACTTACCAGCAACTTGATGTGCCATAAATGTGCATAGTTTTACGTGACATTGGGGAAGGTGTTCGCAGTGGAGCTTCAAACATTTTTGAGAACTGTTTGCGTTGTGCTGCTGAATATATATTCCATAAATGCCACAGTACCGTAATCAGAATGCCGTGCGTGGACTAGTGGGGGGCGCATTGAACGTATCACTGTAAAGATTTTTTTTTTTTTTACTTGACTTCCTCTTTAAGATTTCGGCGCAATCGGAGGCTAGCCGGTCTACACAGGTTGGGAGGACTCACCCCGTAATCCCTGGAGCGGCAGCCTTCCACTGGTTCATCTGCTTGACTATGTACCTCATGTCAACAAGTCATCAAATAGCAAGATGGGGAAACAACAATGGCGAAATCTAGAAGGTTGATGGGGCAACCTACTGTGTCCTGATTCAATTTGACTTAAATGGCCCAAAAAGGATTATTCACGACAAATAATGCCATTTTATTTATCTTGCTAGGCCAGCAAAGTACAGTGAGAGGCAAAATGCTTCTCCACTCCTCTGTCGTGAGTTCAATCGTTTCCATTCATCCAACCAAAGACTAGCTTTGCATTTACTTGAACGGGCCCAGCAGATCTCACACACAAAGAAGAGCGTCACCTGGAATCCGTCTCACCGCTTGGTAAAACTGATCGGGCGCTGCAGGAGAACTTTGACACCTGGAAGATCTTGGGGACTGTATAATTATTTACAGTTGGCCCCGTGTCTGGAGACAAAGGTCCAAAAACATCGCCGGCTCTCTCATGTGAATCTGTTTATAGTTGAGGCGGGGAAAGTTAAAGAATCCAGTCAAAGTACAGTTAACTCTTGCATCACAATTTTGACATTTTGCAGCAGGAAGATTGGCGGGACCTTTCCCCAAGCGAGCCAAAATACACCAACACGAACGTCTTTTAAAATGTCATTCTTTGCTAAAGCAGCAACACAGATTGTGCCCTGTGGGGTTATTTGGGTTCAAATGTGACCCGTGTGCACTAAAACAGATGTGACACTTACCATCAACTTGATGTGCCATAAATGTGCATAGTTTTACGTGACAGTGGGGAAGGTGTTCACAGTGGAGCTTCAAACATTTTTGAGAAGTGTTTGCGTTCCCGCCACATTTACAAAGGGTCCCACAAAAGCATGCACCTGCTAGTCTCTGAAGGGGATGGGGGGGGAGATCTGGAAACAATGAAAGAGTGAAACAGCATCAATGTGATTACAGAGGAAGTCAGATTTGCGTGACATCATTTTGCACATCGTAGGCAAAATAGGACACCGCATTGTTTGTAGTTTTTGTCCCAAAACGAGTGACGTCAAGCCGAAAAAAATACACTTTCCCTTTTCCCCGAAACAGTCAAGTGAATGAATGGCAGACACATCTTGAGGAGGTCCGTACTACACGAATGGATGTAGACCATTAGAAAGATGTTGATACCATAAAGATATGTGCGTCGAAAATGAACAGCATGGAAAGGGTTCAAGTGAAATGAAAACAGCGCTCCTCAGCAATTATAACAAACAAAGGCAGGGATGACGTTTCGTCACGTTGCACACAGTCGCCACCCAGTTAGACCATCACATGCTTCATATGCTCTTTTTTTTCCTCTGCTGTTTTAATTCATAGGAAAGGTGTCAAAAGGTCAGCTGACAAAAGTTGGAAGGAAGGGCTGAATTGTTCGCAAAAGCCTTGACTGTATAATGAAACCTCAAAAGGGTTTTCAAGGATGAAATAATTCATGCGCCTTTGGTTGACTCAGGAACAAAACCAAAGGCCCAAGTGGGAGTCAATGTGGATGGATGCCAAAAAAAAAAACAAAAAAACAGCGGTGGCTTGAGATACAAGCGACCATTCTGTTTTTTTCCAAGACCAGCGAATAAGCGCCTCAGAGGTGTGCAAAATCAGGACGGTCACGAGTTGAGCACGGGTTGCCTCATCAACATGACGATGTGGCACTTTTTCCAAAACAGCAATGTCACCAAGCAACAGCTCGTGGGATAGTCGGTCGAGTGCTGTCGTGCCGTGTGCAGTTTACCACAGCTGTGATAAGAGGCCGCAACAGTTCCACAAACAGTTGAATAGTTCACGAGGCGTGATGATTGTTTGGGTTATTTAAGAAGTTATGGAGCCCTGCCAACACGACCGGTTCCATTGATTGTGGAACTAGCAAAGGACTAGACTGTCAGCAGTCGCTTTGGCGGCCCGCACGATTCCGATGACATTTCGCATTCGGGTCTCAAGCCGAAAAGGGTTCATGCATGCGCCATGGCGTTGACTTGAAATGACCTTGCCCGTCATTGCGTCACGCCCTCGCTCCGAATCCATCGAGTCACGCATGTTGTTGCGGCAACCCATGCTCAGCTTGTGACCGTGCGAATGAGACACGCCTCTTCCTATTCCAAAAGCATCCAAGATAGGAGGACAGAAGAGATAAAAATCTCTTACATGGTTTCAACATTTCCACACCCTTAGAACTCCTAAAACACACACATAAAGCACTTTTAAAGTATTCATTAATCATAATAGTAATAATTTGAGCAATTAAGATACCGTGTTCCTTAGTTGTCACTCGCGCAAGGAAGGACACAGCGTACGTGCTTCAAGTATCTCCCAGGTGAAGTTTGCCATGAAAATAACATGTATTTGTAGCTCCCAGCTGAGGTCTACTGTGACATTCAACAAAAGAGAATCAAATGTATGTTGAAATAGGAAAATAACTTACATCCGCGAGCTCAATGCTAACGTACAGAAATACAAAATGCAATCGTCGGGCTGACGGGAAAGAGCGTCGACGCTAATTGTAAACATTCAAACAATTGCTAATGTGACATACACGAAGCAGCATCGCGAACAATCGAATTAAACATGACATACTTAAACTCTCAAAAGATCAACCAAAGCATTCTTCTTCTCTGCTCTTAAAATCTGCATCCAATAGAGCTCGGTGCGTTGTGGCATACTTTTTGGACAACTGGAAAAACACATCAGATGATTGCTTCAAAATCTGCAAGTTATCACGGCACAAATAATCTGCAAAAAATTGTTTTAATCAAATAAAGCTGAACAACAGCCAGTCACGTAAATGTTGTTGGGATGCCTTTTGGTCTGGAGTCTGGAGAAAAGCCAGTGACTCCCAGTAAACGGATTACATATATCAAATCGAAGTGACAAACATAAAAAATTAATAAATACATTTTAAGAAAACAGTCTCCTCCCCATGATCAATCCTACGGAATATAGTGAGATGATTTCATGCGAAAATGTAAGCTCTTGTACACACACACACACACGTACATAAATGCGTTCAGAGACGTCGTCAAAAGGGTTTGGCGGAGAATAACATGGCACCCGAGAGGTGGAACGCAAAGTGCTGAGAGAAGAGCTGTGAGATGTTTGACGTGAGTTGCCGTTATTTGATGTTCTTCAACAGTGAGGTGCGCGCGTTCACCACCGCCTTGAATGCATCTTCACTCCCGGGGGCCACACATTTGTCTGGGTGCAACAGTACCGCCAGTTTCCTGTATGCCTTGTTGACCTCCTCCCTGGAAACAAGCGTGTGGGAAGGGAGGAAAAAAAAAGGATTTGATCCACTCATCTTTCCAAGAAAATGAATAAATAAATACATAAACGACTCGTCAACTATGAAATTAATTTTGCTCGTCGACGTCGCCGAAATGAGTCTACTAATCTTGTCAGCCCGACAAGAAAAATGGCGTGAAAGTGTCCTGTAATTGTTGCTTGTTGGGGTATTTTGACAAAAATCAAGTCACAGACCACAGCCACCAGGACGGCTGGGAATTGTGAGGGGAAAAAAAATGGCAATATTAAGACATTTGAGAACCTCTCGTCGGTCTGGCCCTCGCTCGTCAACTCACCGTGTGGCGCCGGGTTTGACCCCCAGCATATCCCAGGAGTCCTTGCTGTTTCTGATACGTCTGATTGTGTCCGCTTGTTCTTTGGTGAAGCCTACGCTGACCTCAGACACGGGGCGCTTCCCGCCGTTTTCACACATGTCGGTGATGGAGGAGAAAAAGGCCTGCACGCACACAAAGGCACCACAGACTGAGTCGACGTTCCGGTTCGAGATCAGGCGAGGTTCCGGTACGTCTTCCCACCTGGAACATCTCATTGATCCCCTCTCCACTTTGCGCCGACGTCTCGAAGTAATGAAACCCTCGAGACTCGGCCCACAGACGGCCCTCCCCCTCGTCCACCACTCGCCGTTTCAACAGGTCCACCTGCGGACACAATCGGGTCACTTCCTGACTGGGGAGGTCGCTGCCAATCGGCCCGAGGGAAGTGGGACCTTGTTGGCGCAGACTATGAACACGATGCTGTCCATGTTGGCCTGCGAGCCCATTTCCTGTTTCATTTCGCCCAGCCAGCTATCCAGGGCGTCAAAACTGTCCCGAAGACCGACGTCGTACACCAGCAGTACACCTTGACTGTCCTTGTAGAACTCATTCCGCACCTGCACGAGAACAGATGGATTTATAGAAGAGCACAACTGTTTGCGGTTCGTTATTTACAAATTCCTGATGAGTGCATTGACTTGTTCAAGGCTGTTGAACTGTCAACCAAGAAAGCATTTAGCATTAGCCAACATAATAACACAACTTCCGGTCACCAGATTGGCTAGATTGACTTTGTTTTTGTTTTTTGTTTGTGTTTGTTTTTTTTTGTCTGTTGAAGGATCATTTTTAGTTGAACATCAATGACTTCCTTATTTGCAATTCGCCATTTACTTTTAGCTATCGTGACACATACTCTGTTTATACCATTTATGGGCTTTTTCTCACTCATAATTGATGGGACAAATTGAAATTCACCCTCTAATCTTCATCTTCTATGCAAAAGCTGTGCTCATTTCAAATTCAAAGCACCGGAATGCCGCCGCCTCCAGGCACATGTTTTGTCACCACAGCTGACAAACTTGATATTCACAAACAAGCGAAGACCCTTCTCCACCCCTACCGATGAAAAAAAACGTACTTCACGCCGCCAGATCTCTATAATGGAGAACGCCAGGATTCCAGTTGATTACTATCGAACTCCATAAGAGTGAATGAGTTAATATTGGCAGTTCAAAACATCAATTACAGAAGGTTTTGCGCTATTTCCAGCGGAGCTCGGTCCCTATCTCTTGCTTTTACCGTTTTCTGGAAAATAAACATTCCCAATGAACTTTTTCAGACTCACCTCGTAGAAGAATGGATGCCCAGCCATGTCGAAGATGTTGACTTTGATTTCTCTGTCGCGAACCTGCACCCTGACAACACATGCCTTGATAGAGTCACATTACAGACACATACAAATGCGTTAACTGCAAAAGGGAACACACTTACTTGGTGACCCCGTAGTCAATTCCAATCGTAGCCAAATATTTGGGAACAAACCTCTTCTCACAATAACGTTTGATGATGCAACTCTGCAGGGAGAAATGACAGTGCCATTACATTTAAATCCAAAAATGAACAACTAATCAAATTCTAATTGACATCAAAATGTAGTAGAATAGATGTTTTTTGAATACAACAGATTCAAAAATACACCACATAGTTACAATAGGAGGCTTAAAATTGCATACTGTAAATCTGGCACTGCAATTTCGGTGTATTACACTTTTTTTTTTTCACCCATGCATCTTCAGCCATTTATTGAATCCGGTAAATAATCAAACACCAACACAAAATGGGAACACTTTGCACACGCAAAGAGCTGCTGTCAGCCACAACTCACGGCCAGGCACTCACACGCAGAATAATTTATTTTTTTTAATTTTTTTTATGAATCTTTATTCGAACAAGTCATAGTACAATTCTCAATAAACAGAAAACAAAATGAACATGTTATTAATACATACACATATTGCTCACACGCAGAATAACCCGTCCACCTGACTCCAGCTCCTGACGTGTAACACGAGGCCACGCCCCTTACCGAGACACGTCCAACACACGAATACTCCGGTACAAATTATATATTTGAGTCGTCTGTTTCTTTGTTTGCATTCTTTCTTTGTCTTTTTAAAATCTTTATTCATGCATTATAGTGATAGCGTCCTTGATTAAAAACACGTTACGAAACAAAATTGGTGGCTTTTTTGGTGAGGGAAGGCGGGGGGACTGGCATTAAATTAGGAATTGATTGCATTCAAACAATACGTCGTCAAATGATGCGACGTTGCCAAATGTTGACAATTAAGTTGAGAATTTACCTTCCCGACTTCAGCGTTGCCGAGGCTTATGACTTTCACGCGGAGCGGCTTCTTGTTGTCTCGTCTCTTCGGCACGTTCGTTTCCATTTTTTTTTTTTTTTAAATCCTTGAAAACTGAAAGAGGTGGCTGACGGTGTGGTGGTCCACTCGCCGGACTCGTGTGCGGGCAGCGTGGGGTCGGTTTCCACACAGTGACGGTGTGGATGTGGGTGTGAAGTGTTGTTTGTCTCTATATGTTGTGTCCTGCGACTGACTGGCGACCAGTTAAAGGTGTAGTGCGCTTTTCGCCCGAAGATGGCTGGGATCGGCTCCAGCACGCCCCCCGCGACCCTCTTCAGGATAAGCGGTATTGAAAATGAATGGAAAACTTGAAACTTTAGAAGGAAGGAATGAAGACTACGTAACTACACACCCTTGCGGCTAACGGAGAACGCTAGCACGATCCATGAACGCGCGACTGGATCTACGATACAACTACCGTTGTGTTGTTATTATTATTAATATGCAATTACGATTAAATTGGACATGAGTGACATGATTTGGCAATCTGTCACCAAGGGCGGCATAAACGGAGCGAGGGGACTTGCTAGCGCCATAGCCTAAATCCAAATACGCCGTGCACGAGCAGCTGTCGTAGACGTACTTCCGCTCGTTCTTTTCACAATAAACAGACATTGAGGAACCAACCGTGCAAAATTTAAAGTAATAAAAATGTAATGAAGTGATTACTAAAAAGTGTATTTCATGTTACATTCATGGGGAAGTAAGAGTATCAACATGAACGATACCAAACCGATTTTGAACAATTGATTAAATGTATCATGGGGGGAGTAACGCGCTACATTTACTCCATTACATTTACAGAAGTAACTGGAAATGAATTGTAATTGCCTCAAAAATTGAATAGTTTTGTTGTAACATACTTTTTAGTTTGATTTGAGAATATATTTGATGTTTTTTTACATATTTTCAGAAGAAACAGCACTTTTACTCCAATACATTTATCTATTGATTCTTTTTTTTTTGCTTGCCCAATCAATTGTGTGTGTGTGTGTGTCTGTGTGTGTGTGTGTGTCTGTGTGTGTGTGTGTGTCTGTGTGTGTGTGTGTGTCTGTGTGTGTGTGTGTGTCTGTGTGTGTGTGTGTGTCTGTGTGTGTGTGTGTGTGTGTGTGTGTACCAGGCAGCCACACGCAGTCTTTGCTAGCTTGTCAAAGTGACTAGTTTCTCCAAAAGCTCGATATTCTAGGTTGAGAAAGCATGTTAGTGGTAAATTGAGAGTTGTATACTGTATATGTTTGTTGTTGTTTACTTGTTTTGGCTGAAGACATGCAGGGGCGGAGCTACGTGGTGGCTTGCAGTGGCCATGACCACCCCTCGACACTCTCTGGTCGCCCCTATTTTGGGGAAAATTTTTGATACCTGCGGATTTCCTGCCATTTTCACATTGTTTCACTCTCCTGCACAAACTTGCATACACGAAAACACAGACAAACTATGGAGTCCAACTTCAGCACCATAAAGCTACAGTAGCTTAAAAAAAAAAAAAAACAAGCCTGTACATTATCAATAAACTTGGTCAACGGGTGACTTCTCCAATGAGTTATTTTGGTGAATAAAGTAAATATTTCTTTTGTGAAACACTCTGAACGAATTGCTGTTGTTTTACATGTTGAGGTCATCGACGTCACCACTATGCTGGCGTGTTGATGAATCTGTCCCCTTTTGCCTCACTGATATTTTTTTCTGTCAGCAGAGGATCCTCCCCTACAAACTCAAGGAAGTTCACTGACTTAATAGAATCCCACAGACAGCAAAAGTTATCCTTCTTTGATGAAGCTTCAATGAAAAAAAAACAGATTCCATTGTTGTTGCAGACCGAAAGCAAGACATTTAATTTTATACATTAATTTGACTGTTCTGTTTTGTATACGCTGGAGGAAAAGAAGATTAAACAGAAATAAAGCCAATGTTTACAATGCTCACGATGCGATCCATCCGATGTATCGTCGAATGATATAAAACGGGAGAACTTGATTGTTTCGACATGGGAAAGGTCGAGCGCGCCATCTTTCTAGCGGGCTGGCAACGGCTGCATCTGGAGGGCCTCGTAGGTCTCTCTGGTTGCTCTGCTGAGATCCTGAAGTCACATTTCAAAGAGGTTATTTGCGTTTGGCCGTGGTGGGAATGATGATGAAAATGACATTCGCTTTCTTTCTGAGATGGAGATTGCGCTCACCTGGTAAACCTGATCGTTTTTTCTGGGTCGCTGTCAAGCGGCAAACGGACGTAAACGGTTAACATCATTTGAGTCACACCTTAGCATTCAACATTCAACAATCCGCGTCATTCGTTCACAAATGTTAACAACATTGAATAATGACTGATTAATTTGTTATGTGTTTGTTAATGTAACACTAAAAAGGCAAAGGTGGTCAGAAACAGTCACGTTGGCTTCCGCCACATCCTGGCGGAAGCCAACATTCAAGACTATTGTCTTGAATGTTTTGTCCAGTGGCAGTTGGCAAACTAGCTTAAAAGTACATTCGCACTTCCAACTGATATTGGCCTGACTCTCCAAGGAAACCAATGTGACTTGACGGTGGCCAGATGTCGATGAAGTTTGCTGCCAACATAAACTGGCGGCAATCTCACGTCTCACATTTTTGCTTGGATCTCACAACAAAAACGTATTTTGAAAGGCCCGAGTATCTCAAGTCACAACTTTGACGAAAAACCTGACATTTTGGCCATTTTTAGTGTTCGATTATAAAAAACAAATAACAAAATAATCACTATTTGAAAAATATACCATCTTTTTTTTTTGAAATGCCAATTTAAAATGGAAAGAACGAATGATACTTGGATTGCCGCATGAGTCTGAAACAACGACGCTGACGCACTTCTCTTTTTACAGGAAGTTTTTTGTACACATCTTCTGTTCTTCTGTTCAAGTCCTGAAACAGAGTTTGTGCAGACAGACAGACACGCACACACACGCACACACACACGCACGCACACACACACACTGTTTTATTTTGTTCTGTTTTCAAACGCCAAACCGAACTCAGATGTACTCGTACCGTGTATATCGCATTATCATTATTCCAGCGGTTCTGTGGGACAGATGAAAGGGAGAACTTTGTGAAACGTGACCGACATATACACTACAGCTCACTTCTAAGTTGAATTCTTTAGTTTTAAAGGGTTCTGCATTCCTTTACGTTGAACATTGGAACTGTTCTTGAGATCTTTCTTTTTTTTTTCTGGCATTTTCAAGAATATTCCTCCGATGACTTTTCCCAAGATACTTACACGTCCTCTCTCCGGGTCTCCTTTCAGCTGCAAGTCACCGTTGTCCCTTTGGCCTCTTCCGCCCTTGATCGAGTGAACGAGACAGCACCGACATTGTCACGAATCAAAATGGCGAGCGGAGAGCAAGGAGACGCTCCGCTGCGGCTCGCGTGAGTCTCACCGTGCCGGCGCCGGCCGCCTTTGTTTTGAAGAGCTGTGGAGGGATGTTTAGAGGTGACATGGATGGAGTGGATTGCGTGCGGGTTGTGTCATCAGCAGACTGACCTTCTCCTTGATGAACATGGCCGTGATGATCAGGCCGTACAGACCAAGGAAGCCGTCCAGGATGTAGCACAGCCTGGGGTCGTACAGCGTCAACATGGCGTCTGCGGATGAAGTGGCGGTCAGCAACCATGCCTGCCAATAAACTCCCGCCTTGCTCATTTGTATGCCTTCTTCTGCCTGCGCGAAAGGTGTTGGTCTACTTTTCGAAGACGAAAGCTTGTTCCTGAGCAGCCGAGGTGCTTAAAACCACAAAGTTGCTTCCTGGTTGGTCGCCACAAACGAGCAATCTCATGGTCTGATGATTATTTGAGAAGATTCAACTCAAACGAATCAGTTTGGACTGCGTTCAAAACGCAGGGTCCAAGTTTAAAATGTGGACAGAATTTTTCAAAAAAAGTTGGTGTGTTTTTTTTTTTTTTTGTTTTTTTTATACCCATGAAGAGAAACATCTGAAACACTTCAAATAACAGCCAAGCATCAAAATACAACAATTTGAGTTTGATGGTTTGGTTTTACCTGCAGGTTGCACCAACAACACTAGAAGAACCGATGTCCACCAGAACGCCATCCTGAACTCCTCGGAGTCTCTCAAACAATGTCTTTTCAAAAAAAGTTGGTGTGTTTTTTTTTTTTTTTTTGTTTTTTTTATACCCATGAAGAGAAACATCTGAAACACTTCAAATAACAGCCAAGCATCAAAATACAACAATTTGAGTTTGATGGTTTGGTTTTACCTGCAGGTTGCACCAACAACACTAGAAGAACCGATGTCCACCAGAACGCCATCCTGAACTCCTCGGAGTCTCTCAAACAATGTCTTTTGGGCCGTGAAGTGGGACAGGAAGTGGTGAGGAGCTGCTGCGGTGGGTGACGTCGCACCCGCATCCAATCACGCGCAGTTAGACATTTTGGAGTAGTGGCAGCATCTGACTGAAATTACCATTACTGCCTCCACCGAGCACTCCAGAACAAAGGGGGAGAGTCCTGTCACGACAAGTCACATTTATTTCTATAGCACTTAATCACAAACAATTTCAAAGCGCTTCACATGCCCACACTTGACAAATATTCACGACATCCCCTGACCTTAGCCCACAGCAGGGCAAGGACAAACTCCCCCAAAAAGCCCCATCTGAGTGAAAAATGAGAAAGCTTGAAAAGGGGCCGCATATGGGAGAATCCCCCTTCCACGATGACCAGGCTTGCAATGGATGCCCGTTGGGCAACATTTGACCCAATATTGGTCAACAATGTTTGTTAGAATGATGTAAAAGTCCGTTGAACAAGACGAAAAGGCTGCAGGGCGACGCCTTCGGAGAGGGAGGCCCCCCTCTGAACCTGGTCAATGAAGAGATCTTCATAGCAGCGCCCCCGAGTGGTGGAGCCAGCTCTTGTCCAGCTCAGTCGGTGCAAATCACGTTCGTGCTGATCGGAGCAGAATCTGTACGGCGACATCCAATTGAGTCCTTTTCACCGAGGCCCCTCTCCAGATCAGGGAGGAGCGGAGAGGACCCACAGAGGAGCTCCACAAAATGAAAGAGGATGCAAAGGAGTCTGAAGTTGGGTTTTAAACTTTGAGTGCACTTTATTACCGTGAAACTCCTCTACAATGAAATCATGTTTGCAGCAAGAATTTTTTCACAACAGGGGACTTTTCACTGTCGCAAATTTTACCTCAGACGTAAACACGAACACGTATATGTGTACTTTTTATTTTTATTCCAATAGTGCATAAGTATGAGCATACACTTATTTGACAGTTCATATAGCCAGCGTAGAAAGAAAAAAACGGAAATTGCGGAATTTACGATCAGCATTTACTTTCACTTACATCAATTTCTTGCATAATGTCTTTTATTTTGCTTCCTCCATCTTTCATTTATATTACCTTTATCCAGTCTTCCAGCGTTAAAGCTTTTCTTTTCTTAACTCCTTGGTATCCAAAGGTCCGTTTTGTCGCCATTTTAGCAATGCAACGTTCGTGCTGCGTCTGAAACTGCACGTGTAAACCAGTGTGGTGGTTGCTGTTGCCGTTTCCGAACGAAGCAGTGGAGGTCGCTGGGGCATGCTGAGGTTGGATTAGACTTTTGCAGAAGGCTTGTTTTCATTGTAATGAATCTCGTTGCGAGGCAAGAGCAGAGAAAAAGATTTCGTACAACGGAAGAGGGGGACTTTTCATTGTAGGGGGAGCAGAAAAGTGGAAATGGCTTTCATGCATGACATTTTATTCACACTAGGGTGTATTTTTGCCCATGTAGGTTTCGTTGTAGAGGAGTTTCACTGTACTCCAAGTTGAAGTCATTCAATGATCTGTCGACTGAAATTGAGGTCAAAGTGCCCTCCAGCTAGCTTGCAAATGTCACATGACGAAACCCAGAAAACAGGTGAGCCGGTCATTGACTGCCACCAAGTGCCTTGCTTTTTTTTCTTGTCAGAACGCACACTGCCGATTGCACAAACCAAACAAATGCAAAGGTAGCGCTACAAAATGTTCTTTTACACTTTTAGTGGGGGTCTGTGCAGTGTTGCGTGCTATTTTGGATTCTACAAAGTATCCAAAATGGCACCATGGTTATTGTCTTCCAATCACAGCATCTCGACTTCATGGCCATTATTATTTACAAACAGAGGAGGTGTAGACATTCTGTTGCATGACACAAACTTTATTAACAAACATTGTATTCATGTTCTACTGAAAAATATAATTCATTCTATTTTTCTGAAAAAATATATAATAATCATCAAGTGAATGAGCTTGCAGGGGTGTAGCAAGAAATTTTTCAGTGCGTTGGCCAGAGCAACGCAACGTTTTACCGATGTATGGCCAGAAGCGTGTGCACCTGAACGTTTGTGTTCCTATAACCCACTCTAGAACTGAGAAGTCATTGCTTATCATACCATCCACAGTCAGGGTTTCATGAAATAAAATGCACACTTGCGTAGAACCTTGCTCAACACAATCATAATACCAGCAGGAACAAGACGACTCAATTCAAGTAAAAAGCAACGTTTTGATGAGCTTAACATACTACAATGTACATTTATAGGAAATTGGGAGACAACTCACAGGGATAAAAAAAAAAAACTTCCCCGAGAAGTGCAACTGTCCATGGGCGTCCCTGCGTGCCTGTATCAATTTCCACTCCCACAACACCTCATTTCAATTGTACGCTGTCTTCCAATAGTTATAGCAAGCCAATCCCATCACTCCTGTTGCTGCTGTATGTATGGCACTCAGAAATCATAGAAGATAAGTGGATTCACTGGAAGGAATTCACAATATGATTCACTGCAAAGAACACACTAAGCCCCCATAAACGTCATTTGTGCGTATTAGTTGGGAGAGGCTTGGTAGTATTCCTCCGGACTGACTGTCTTCACCCCGCCAAAATAATCCAGCACCCACACCTGTAACACAACGCAGCGGGCATGGCGATGAAGATAAAAGCCCAGGACCTGACAGATGCGCTATTGCGGTCCAAACTACCTGTGTGATGTTGAACTTGGCAAAGAACCAGTCATGGTCAGAGGGCCAGTCGATCATCTCGGGGTGTCGAGTGAAGAGGGCTTTCTTTGCAAACTCTGCCTCTGTGCTGTTCACCTGAAGAAGACGAGCAAGTGCCTGTTAATGGTCTGACAATAAAACACCAACAACTTGCGGGGCTCGACGGTGCCACCATTATGCTCGCAAATGCTCCTGTTGCTCTGGCTTAAGAGTGTTAGTGTCGTGTGGGGGGTGGGGGGGGGACATACCTCCAGCACAGATCCGGACAGGATGATGTGGGCGCACAGAGGACTCTGAGGGTCGAAGCCCTGCTGGCGGCAGTAGGCCGTCTGAGCCAGAGACATTGACAAAGATGCCTGCTGGTTGACCTGCGCGGAGACAAGGTTTCATTTCACTTCTCTCAAGCTTGAAACAGGACCCAAACCTAAAAATAAAAGTGCATCATTTCCATTCGATTTAGGGTGCATCCAGTGTTTCAATTTCCAGCAGAATAAAATTCAGACAACTGATGAATTGGTCCGTGAATTTAAAAATGTATAATGAATAAAATAACAGCTTTTTTGGGGTCCCTTTAGCACCTACGACAATAAAGATATGAATTACAGCAAAGGAGTTGAAAGTTACAAGAACATTTGGATGGCAATTAAACTTTGTTCTAACAAGTTTTAAACATTTTGGGGATATTAACTTCTTTCATTGAAGAACTAAAACATAAATATTCCATTAACTATGACTCATCTCCCCTATCCAACCCATTAAAAAATGAACAAATATGCAACTATCTAAATTTATTGAGATGGACCTTTATTGCTCTCTTGTGAAACAGTTTGTATCATATGAAATATTGACTGACTTTTGACCCCTCCTATATTTTTGGGCAGTAAAACGAACAAAAGTCATCTGATCAGCGGGAAGGTCATATTTGAAGGCAAATGGCTGCATCTCAAGCATGTGACTCTACGGCAAAACTGCTGAGGCACAGTTGAAAAGCTGCTGAGTCATGGTGACACTTGTGCAGTTCCATAAAGTCATGTAACATGTTGACGCGGTAATTCGTACACACGTGAGCAAAAACGGCACACGTTTACATGAGTGTAAATCACGCCTATGAAACTTGAAGTTAAAATAAGGGGTGTGATGCTACAAGACAACAAATGTTCATTTTAAATGCCATTTTTGATATATGACGTAAATTATTAAACCATGTAGGGGCGGTGCAAAAGTTGGCATACAGTTAAGAGTTATTCAAATTTGTTTATTATTTGCCTTCTTTCATATGACTAAAATTGAATTCCCACAGACGTAAATAGGTCAACGGGGTTGAGTCGATCCCAAGACCTCACGCCAACGGATTTCTTCATTTGGGGTGTTGCCAAAGATAAAGCATATCCTCAAAAAAGATGCACTGTTGACGAAAACTTTCTAGTAAAATGTCGAACTGTGCTTGGGTGCAGAAAAGTCTACAGGAAAAAGGCCAGCCACTTTAACACATGAAAGATTGCACCTAACAATAGTTTCAATGTTACTTTAATTGTCACGTCATGAGGAAATGTTTATCTATACAATGAAAACAAATTTAACTTAAAAAAAACAGATGGTATCAGTGTCGTGCACAGGACAGCTGAGGCCACATGTGGTTTAGGAACAGTTGACATTATGTGCCACATTTAATCGAAAAATTACCTCCAGGTCCTGCACGGAGATCTCCATGCGGGTCAAGTACATGTACGGCACGCCGGAGCTGAAGCCCGGTGGCCCGTCGCTCACCGAGAACACGTTGGAGAAAGGCTGCCCCACCACCGGCTTGTGGCTGCTGATGGTGGCCATGGAAGCCCAGTCGCATTGGTGGGCGACGAAGCGGGCGACCCGGGCGACCTGCTCGTGTGGGGGCACGCGGACCCGGAAAGAGCCCGCGGCGAGCCCAAAAAGTAACAGGCAAACACCCGGAAAGAGAGCTCTCATGGTCGACTGTAGAATTCGACCACCAATCGGAAGTGTAAACAAAGAAAGCACAGGACTAAGATATAAACAAATGAGTCACTGGAAGATCCGGTGCAGATTTTCAAAGTAAAAAAATGAAAGCAATTACTTCCGCAAACAAACTAACAAAACGTGCATGTAACCAAAATGGAATTCGAATTCTGTCCAATTTTACGATGTAATATTAAGTAATAGATCATAATCGTTTCAAATAAAGACAAGTACAATTGTATGAGTGTAGTTTACAAAATAATACAAACCAAGCACTTTATGAACATTTGTATGGTACCTCCCGCCACCCTCTATCTCAGGTCTGCCATCCTCGTTTGAAGTTTTCTTTAAATACTTTAAGATTACAAAACAAATATCTGACACAAAAATAGGTGGAAAAAAACAAACATGACGCCATCAGTTATGCCAATAGTTGTTTGTATACGTGTGCCCTGTGATTGGCTGGCAACAAGTTCTGGATGTAGCCCACTTGCTGCCCAAAGACAGCTGGGATAGGTTCCAGCATGCCCGCGACACTTTGGAAGATAATGTGGTTCAGATAATGGATGGATAGATGGATACACAGTGTGTGTGTGTGTGTGTGTGTGTGTGTGTGTGTGTGCGCGCATGTGTATGTAAATTTGTCATATTTGGATGTGTTTCGAATATCAATACAACCTTTTTCAGATAATTTTAAAGAATAGAACATTTTATACGATGTGATTTGCTATTTGTTAATATTACTGTAGCATTGATTTAAAAGAAGCAACTACTCACAAAGACCTTCAGATGTATTTACTGCTAATGCAATAATATGAAATAAAATGAGGGAAAATACGAACAAAAGATACATATTAAGTATAAACAATACTGTATACAATACATGTCTGTGGAAATGTAATCTATCGTTCTATCGGTGTGAACACAATTCTACTTTTTTCAAATAATTTTTAAGAGTACAACTTTTTTAATCACGTAGTTTATTATCTATTCATTTTAACGTAACATTAATAATTTAAAAAGAAACAACTACAGGTACTCACAAATGAAAGTAAAAATAATTAGAAATCTTGATGCCCTCAACTCTAAATAATAGGTCGCAGCGCGGTGAGCGGCATACCCACGTTGGGCTATATCAGTAATTTATTTTTTAAATCTTTTTTGTATTTGCGGCATTTACGTCGACGCGGTGACGTAAGCACGAAGTCTGACCCGGAAGTGACGCGCTCGGGCCCGTCAGACTGTGTTGATGTTTTGTGCACGAGCTCTCGCCCGGGAAGAAGGAGACGTATTTCAGGTTTTTTTCTCGTTCGTTTGTATGGTGTGTTCCGTCCAAACGTCGATGGGAATCGTCGTGTTCTCGACGGGGAACATTCGCTCGATGATTTGCGGCTAGCCAGCTAGCTCGACGCCAAACACAGCCAATCTTTTGATCCAAAAAGGCGGACCGACTCCTCCTCCTCCCCACCATGACGATCCTGCCCAAAAAGAAACCCAGCTCGGGGGTCGGGGTCGCGGATCACGCTGATGACACCGACCGGCGGAGCGTCGCGGACCCTCACCAGCACCCGCACCCTCACGCGGGCAGGACCGGAGCCCGGCCCCGTGCTTCTCCTCCGCCGTGGACGTACCAGCCCGCGCCGCCTTCCACCAGAGATGAGCGGCGGAGCATCGAAGCGGGCTCCCGGCCGCAACAGGCCTCTCCTCCGCCTGGCGGCTCCGTGGCCTCCGCGGGGCCGTGCGACGGTCGGGACGGCGGCGGCGGCGGAGTCGGCGGCGGCGGCCTGGTGGCGACCTCCCGCGGGGACCTGGTGGTGCAGGCCGGTGTGGTGGGCTGCGGCGGGAGTATCGGCGGCTGCTGCTCCGGGCCCGGACTCAGTAAGAGGCGGCGGCAAGCGGGCACCTGCTCCGGCTCGGCGGCGCTGGCCGGAGGCGCAACAACAGCGAGGACGAGTATGAGAACGCCGCCCGCCTGCAGGCAGTTGACCCGGCCACCGCCGAGCAGGTAAGCGCCGGAAATTCAATTCAGTGTAGGGGTCTTGAATCGCGTCTAAAATGGACGCTCCGGGACGTGGGAGTGAGTCAATGAAGGTTGTTTTAGGCTCATGTCAATCACGTCGTCGCCATGGCAACATGGCTGGGCTAGCCATCACTCAAAGACACTTCTGATAGCCAGTAACGAAATATAAATACCACAGTACTCTATTGAAGTAATGTGCGGCACGTGCTCGACTGGTTAGCGTGTTTGCCTCACAGTGAGGAGGTCATGAGTTCGAGTTTGGGACCTGGCCTTCCTGTGTGCAGTTTGCACGTTCTCCTCGTCCCTGCGTGGGTTTTCTCCGGGTACTCTGGTTTCCTCCTGCATTCCAAAAACATGCACGGTACAATACAATACAGCTCTATGTGTATAGCGCCTTGAACAACAGTTGAAATGTAACAAAGCACTTTACATATGTTGTAAAATAACAATAATAATACAACAATAAAAAGTGAAAACAGTTATTCAAACACAAATTAATAACACCAACACATATAGAGTAGACACCAGAAAATAATTGTGTGTGCGTGTATGTGTTCTCCCCTGATTTCCTGAAAAAATTAATCTATATAAGTGACAGAGGGGGACAAGCATCCATCATCAGGTTTGGCGTTTCAGGTATTTTCTCACAGGCATGCATTGAGTGCTTGGTTTGATTGTTATTGAGTCATTTCAAAACGTAATGGTAAGCCTGCACATCTGTGCAATTCGTCAGAGCAGTGGAAAAATCAGTTTGACACTTCTCTCAATGGTCAAGTTAACGGTCTCCGAGTTTCCACCACCTCTATTTTTGAACCAACTTTACACTTAAAATGTAAATCAGTGCCATCGTTCTGTCTCGCCTTGAAGCAATTTCCTTTTCGGCTGACAACCTACAGCGGTCGAGAAGAAGGCCAAATTGATCATTCGGTCCATTTACGTGTTATCTCAATTGGGCTGCCTTTGTCAAATGACATTGCCGTTTGTTTATGCCTGAGCTTTGACCACCCGAAATGCAATGAGCGTCATGGAATCAAGGTTTATAGAGAATTGTGTTGAGTCTCGTGCCAGCCGAAAAACCACCAAGCTGAACGGATTGAACAGTGAAAATGTAAAAATCTGAACTTTTTTTTTTTTGGAGCCGAAAAGAGAAAAACATGCTTCAGTGAAAACAACCATTTGAACGCAGTTTTCAAAGTCGAGAGACATTATTGTCTCCTATTTACAATAACTTGTTGACCAGTCGGCACATTTGAATATAACATTGCAAAATGGTGGCAAGAGAGAAGAGATCTGTGTCAAATAAGAGTGAACATACATTTGTTTGAGGCCGTTTGTATGCATTGACAGGAGTCTTCAAGGCTCTCTGGTATTCTTTGGCCAAAATACACACAGGCCCAAGAATTATTGCTCACTTCACATCCACTTGTAGCGCTGCTGAAAGTCACTTCGGCTGGATTGACTCTTAATTATTCTTCCAAATGTGGACAAACATCTGATACGTGTTGGTTATCCGCCAGTTAATATGCCGTGTCAGTCAATGGTCCGCAACTACCGGTACCGGGCCACGGCCCTATTGGGACCGGGCCGCACGGAGACAGACCTGCGAGCTGTCAGCAAATTGACTCCATCAGTGGCGGAAATGTGCGCGACTCGAGCCAATTGGAGTCCCCCCTTCTAACATTGGTTTGCAAGTTGAAATTGAGAGAATCCGCCAAGAAATGAAAGAAGAAGCAGTAAACAAAAAGTAAGAGGAGCAAAGTGACCAAACGTACGTCATAGATAATTTGATGATATTCTCCTCCCCAAAATATTGTAAATTTGCATTTCGTTCACAGAATTGTATTTTAAATTGCTTCGTACAGCTGCAAAGCCGTGTACAACGATATTCTACAGCAATTTTTAACAGTGAAGAACTTCCAATTATGTCGAGACTTTCATTGATTTTGGGGAATACTTACGTCTCCTATTTTTCCCTATTGACAGACATCATCGCATTTCGAGCTGTCTGTCTATCACTGCCAACAAGCAATCAGAAGGAGAAAAGATGTTTACCATCGCCATGAGAATGAAAACAAATCTTTTTTTATTCGATATATGATGATTTGCGCTATAGGCGTCGCCCTGGAATGCCGGTCTTGTAATTTGTGGGCGGTCCTTAACGCAGACGGTAAGAGTCATACAGCGTTGAGCGTTGTTATTCCAGATACCTTTGTAGTGACAACCAAGACAGTTCCCAAAATTGTCCCACACATACCACACGCGATATAGTCGAAATGCAGTTATGATGCGGACTATGAGCGTGGAGTCTGAATGTTAAGCCAATGTCCAATATCCTGGCTGTCACGTTTTAGTTGCTCCCCTAAAGTACAGCGTGTGTGTATGTGTCTGTGTGTGTGTGTGTGTGTGTGTGAGTGTGTGTGTGTTTTGCTGAACGAGGGTTTTCCAAGTGTGGGTGTTTACTTAGCTTTTCTTGAGCGTGCTTGTGGTGACGCAAAGTTTTCCTCGCGATTCGTATGGCTCACGGTGGAACAGAAACGCTCTTCACGGGCGACCGTTTCGGCGCAGCTAGCAGTTGTATTCCAACCGATATCAGTCGTGTCAACCCCAAATCATTTCGCTCAGCTGCTCTCGCAGAGTCATGTGACTGGATCCTGCCCACTGATTTGCCCAATGAGGATTCCATCACTTCCTCCCTTTTTGCCGCAATCAAGTGACTCGTTGGTCGAGCCAGTATTAACACTTGCTAATGTGATCTGGCTCATCGTGAAAGCAACATTGACGATATATCGATGAGGAAATATTTTGCCCACGCCTGCTTTGTACCAAAAAGACTTGATTATGATGGCTCATGGTAACTAGGCTGAACCAAACTTGTTTTTAAAAGTTTGCACCACACTAGGTTGCTATTTCGAAAACGCATTTGGCCGCATACAGAAAATTGAAAACGTCACATTTTTTGCACTACGCGTATTGGGGATCAAGGGGGCGGCGCTTGGCACAAACCAATCGCACTCATCTTTGCGTCTGCAAAACTGTGAAGCCGAACAGTGTGGATGTGTGATTTGAATTTAATCCCATGTGACACCTAAAGCATAAAGCGGACCTTTGTAGTGATGGGAATACCTCTGACACGCGTCAATGATATAATGTCATTTTAAGAAGACATCTTCATGAAATTATGACGTGGAGGAGTCATCGTCTCATTACCCCAAAACATTTGTGCCTCCTCCGCACCTTGCTCCTTTGTCAATCTCCTCCCTCCTCAATGGAATTTCTGATGGGAGGTTCTAGCATGTACCGGTAATCGAAAGAGCGCGAGGACTTTGGAATGTCCAGTTCAAGGAATGAGATGCACCTTTCGTCTTCTCTTTCTTGTTCCTTTTCTTCTCTTTCCTTATCTTGGCAATTAGCATTACCACCGGTGGACTGAAGGTGGCAGTAATGCACAGAAAGTCAGTGCGATTATGGAATGGAACTTTGGTTATTTTTATTCCCCACAAGTCACACCTGAGTACAAGTTTTCAGAAGCAGCCAAACTATGAAAAAAACGGTGTGAATTAATTATTCCTCAAAATGTGTTCTATTAGAATTATGCTGATCATTAAATAAGTTTTAAGTATGGTACAGTAAATAATAAAGCAGAGTCACGTAGACTCATTGCCATGTTACATTTAATATTAATTGCTTCTTTCCATATTTTTGCGGCCTTGCATTGACACTTGTGTACTTATCTACGTGCAATTTGCATGTCGTTGCTGTGAATGTAAAAAAAAAATGGCATGTAGGCAACGTTGGTCCTTTACCCCGTACATACAGTTTTTCATTGAATGCCCTTGATCCAAGGTATGTCCCTTGCTTCACCTGAACAACTCCTCCATTTGAGAGAGGTGTGTGTGAGAGAGCTTGCAACAATCATACAGGCCTCCCGAGCCAGGTGGTTCGACTGTTCGCATTAGGAGGTAAAATTGTGGGAACAGTGTCGCTGTGGGAACAGAACTCGCTGGTGAACCGACGACTTTTTGTGCAGTGTTTTCACTCCTCACAGCTGTAATCTGTGTGTGTGTGTGTGTGTGTGTGTGTGTGTGTGTGTGTGTGTGTGTGTGTGTGTGTGTCCGCCCGCCCAGCAAGAGCACTGGTTTGAAAAAACTCTGCGGGACAAGAAAGGTTTCGTCATCAAGAAGATGAAGGAGGACGGCGCGTGTCTCTTCAGAGCTGTCGGTGAGTCAAATGCTTCTTCCGATGGCCACCAGGTGTCACTGTGGTGCGTGGAAAGAATCACTTGACAAGTTCTTACGAGCCAATATAGCTTTATTTATGTATCGCGCTTTGACAAGAGCTGCAGGTGTAACAAAGCGCTGTCCACAACATTTAACATAAAATAACAAAGAATCAATAGTTATGGCATTGTACTGCCTCCCCCCACCCCAAAAAAAACGGCGCTTTTAGGCATTCCATGTTTTCTATTGTGTCAGTTAGTCACACTTTTAGTGGCAGCAGACATCAAAATGAACACGTAATTGAAGAAAACATGGTGGCCTCTTCATCTTTTCCATGGATATCCAGAGAAAGAGTTTGACTGAAATGGGAGCAAGTTTTAACACTTAAAATGCATGCGGAGCATCAATAACACCCGAATGGAGTGAGCAAATGAATGTCTGGATTTTGCTAGCAACGTGCTAATAATCCACGTGGGTCTTCCCCCCCACCCAGAAAACTTGCTGAGCCTGGTGGGAGAGAACCCGATCGGCCGTTTCATTTTTTTAGTCAGTGTACTTGCATTATTTATTGGTAGGCCTGTCACAAACTACATTTTTAATTCTTTGGCTTAGTGGAAAGCCACTCGTTGGTTTACTGTACAAACTGTTGACAATGTTATGCATTTATTGTTTGAACTAACAATTTATAAGTCAGATACTCTAGGTACAGCACTTTGTAGACAGCTATGGTTGTTTCAAAGTGCTCCATAAGTAAAGTTGAGCCGAAAAATGCGCTATGACAAAGTCATACGAACACATTTTCATATTTTACCATGGAATTGGCAACGCCATTTAGCAGCTTTGTGTGCGTGTGTGTCAGCTGACCAGGTCTATGGCGATCAGGACATGCACGAGGTGGTGAGAAAACACTGCATGGACTACCTGGTGAGTGGCACTTAGCTTCTTGTCATTCCTAAAAAATAAACTAAAATCAATGTGTGTAAATGATGCCTAATACTTTGATGAATAAGATCATTCATTTGGATATTAAAATGTTGTTTTATTTATGTTCAGATAATGGAATGATGGATAATGCAATGAAATAATGTGTTCTATGCAGTCCCACCAGTCTAAACACGAAAGGCATTGTGATTAATAATGCACTTGTTTTTGTCCTTCTCGGTTGACAGAAAGGCAGAAATATGCTTAACTCATATTCCACAAACACAATATTAACGAGAATGCCGCGTTGAGATTAGTTGTGGCCGATAGAACATCTTATTGGAAAGAAAATGTTAGGCTTGACATCTGCTTTAATTACCAATTTCATTGAAACAAATTGAGACTTGTTACATCTGTGTGATTTTTTTAAATGTATTTTTTAAATTAGTTACAATGAATCAAATAAAACTATTTCAGGAAGAAATGGCTAAATTAATATGCATTATCTTACTCATATTTTTTATTCAATGAATGCATTTTTATTAACTCATTCAGTACCAGCCAATTCTGGACCAAGTCTGAAAAGACGTTTAAAAGCGTCTTTGGGGGTGAATGAGTTAACTGATTTTAGGGAGAAAGCTTCAAGTAAGATAGGTGCGTGCGTGTGTGTGTGTAAACACATTTTATGAGGATCAATAGTAGCAATAATATGTGAGTTATACGTTGTTTTTTTTTTTTTTTATTCTGGCTTTTCCCTCGCAGATGAAGAACGCCGACTATTTTTCCAACTACGTGACGGAGGATTTCACCACATACATCAACCGGAAGAGGAAAAACAATTGCCATGGCAACCACATTGAGATGCAGGCCATGGCAGAAATGTACAACCGGCCTGTGGAGGTGTACCAGTACGGCACAGGTGTCCTCTGCTCGTTCTCGCCTCATTCCTAAGTTGTTGTTTTTAGGGCTGTAATGACTCTCCAGTCCATGTGGAAATAAGTTAGCATGAAGATAAAATCCAATTTGTACCACAACAGCACGTCTACAATCACCAACATAAGATAACAGCTGACGCCCACATCACTCACCAGGCCAGGCCCTCCTTTCTAAGCCATACGCACTCAGAAACGCAGTTACTGCTGTAGAACATGAGGATACTGATCAAGTGGACACAAATCATACCTGCATTTCGCATGCACCTCCTGATTCTGGTTGTTCATGCTAAGTCAGTCTTTCGCTGATTAATCAGTGGAACAATCGGTGGAATTCCTTATTCGAACAATATCCAAAATCTGCAGCCCAACTTAATTTCATTATGCTCATTGCAACTGCCAATCAGCTGCCTCCAGGCTAAGCCCCGCCTCTTCCTTTCACAGAGCCAATCAACACCTTCCATGGCATCCAACAGAATAACGACGAGCCCATCCGAGTGAGCTACCACCGTAACATCCACTACAACTCTGTTGTCAACCCCAACAAGGCCACCATCGGCGTGGGCCTCGGCCTGCCCGCCTTCAAACCGGGGGTACGAACCTGCACGCTCGCACGCCATTTATTTATTTGCTTCTTCTCTATTAGGTGCACTTGCGCAAAGACGCCACACCAGAAATAGACAAATCACTCCGCGGTTTACCGTGGCTAAGAAGTGGGCCGCATGTGAGTTTTCAAACAGAGCAGACAGCATGTTTGAAGATACATTAATTTAAAACAAAAAAAGCATTTTAAACAATTGTGCGGTGCCCAATTATTTTACTGATTTTATAATGCCTTACTGTTCCCCCCATTTTTATTTTTTTTTATTTTACATCATACACCTCAGTGGTTGATGGTATTGTCCGAAATTCTCTGATCCAATTATTTAATAAAAATTAATAGCTAAACACTCAACATATCCCCCAGTGTGGGACAAATAAAGGATATCTTATCTTATCTTATATCGCATTTTCCTTTGAAGTGTTTGCTGTACCAAAAAAAAAAAAAACTAACAGGAAATGTAATTTTAAAAAAACATTTTTTTAAATCTCTATTTAACTTTAGTAATTAATTTCATCCAGGTTGTCACCTTCATTAACTGTACTGGCAGTATTTCACTCACTCGCCCCAACTCAGAATTGGCTGATTAAAATAAAAAAACACACACATCTGGGGAAATAGTCAGGTAACTAAAGATTGACTTGTTTGACTGGACACTAAATCCATCTTTATTTTTAATTTTTATAAATGAGTGGGCAGACATTCTTGACACCCAACTATGAAGATAAAACACGTTAAAAACTCACCTTTCATATTATGACTCCTTTAAATCACGTCCCTAGTACGCGGACCAATCCCTGATGAAATCGGCCATTAAGACGTCCGAGGAGTCGTGGATCGAACAGCAGATGTTGGAGGACAAGAAGCGAGCAAGCGACTGGGAGGCCACGTGCGAGGCCATCGAGGAGCAGGTGGCCAGGGAGTCGTACCTGCAGTGGCTCCGGGACCAGGAGAAGCAGGCCCGACAGGTTAGTGCATTTTTGCTTGTCATGTTTGATTGACACAACGGCTTTACATTGTTACAGAATGAGAACAAAGGTCAAATAAAAGACAATTACCGTGGAAGCTTGATCAACGAGTGTCCCAACATATGACTTTTTCGAGTCATCGCTTGGATGTTTTTTGTTTGTTTTTGTTTTTTTTAATTTTGCTTTGTGTTATGAGCTAGATGTCAGGTACGCGTGCGCTTTAGCTGCCCCAGAGCTCAATTGAAGTAAAAAAAAAAAAAAAAAAAAAAGGTGCAACTAACTATGGAGGAATTCCTACCTATTGTAATTGTAATCTTTGTCCCTCCAGCCCAGGAAAGCCAGCGCCACCTGCAGCTCAGCCACGGCAGCGGCCTCCAGTGGCCTGGAGGACTGGGCCGCTCGGTCGCCACGGCAACGAGACTCCGACCCCTCCCACTCGGACCTCACCAGTGCCCCCTCGACTGTCATCAAGCCGCCTTCCCCCGCCGGTGCCGCACTCATCCTCAACAAACCACCCTCACCCTGTGCACCAGGTAATGTCAAATAAAATTCTGATTAGTCTGGTCAATTCAAGTCAGATGATGGGTTCATTTTTTGGGGGGGGTGGGGGGCACTGCCGTACAACATAATTAAAAGATAACAACATTAAAGTCAATAAGCAGTCCAGCAAAAATTTGTTTTGGTTCTAGTTGAAATAAATGAATGCATGTTATCATTATTACTCATAGCTTTATTTGACTTTTTGTTAATTAACAATTTTGGCAAATAATCAATGATTGCAGCTGCTGCAAATGGTTCGAGTACATAAAGGTAAGTAGAATTGGCCGAATAATAAAATTCTACTGATGGACGATTTGGGCCACCGTTAGTAAACTTCCGGTGGCCCACCTCAGACACTGGTGGCCACGTGCCATCGGGCCACTGTTAATGTCGACCCCAGGGATCATTGTTTGTGAGAGGAGCAGCGTGTGCAGTTGAATAGCTCAAGAGGCAACTTTCAATTGGATAAATTCCTGCTTTATTTTTGTGTCGGAAATTTCCATTCAATCCCATGAGAAGTTACCGACTTGAAAAATGCCAGGGATTTTGCAGCCCTACAGGTGACGCACCTTTTTGCTAGCGTGTTTTTAATGTTTGTTACAATTTGTTTGTGTGTTTGCAGGTCCCAGTAATCAGAGTCGGCATCATTTAGAGTACAGAGCCATTATGCAGGAGATGTCACCTACAGCATTTGGTGAGAAAGATCAAATGTGTCCATGACGTGGGGAAGGATAATTTTTTTTTCTTTTCTTTTCTACCCCCCCAAGCATTTTTTGTTGCCCACACGCCGGAACCCATGATGTAACAATTTTCGGACTTTCGTATGTTTTCACAAATTGATACTGTTGGTCACTCCACATGTTTGGATGCTTATTATTATTCTTGTTAATGTGATGAATATTATTGATATTCGTTGATTTCCCCCCCGCCCAGGTCTGAGCGACTGGGAGGATGACGAGATCCTGGCATCAGTCCTGGCCGTGTCCCAGCAGGAATATTTGGACAGCATGAAACATCAGAGCGGCTCCGTTCAGCATCGAGAGCGAGAGGCGTCGCCAGACAGCAGCTGATGGACGCACATAGGCGACAAATGAACCCCCACTGCCCCCGTGAACCACTGAAGACAAAGCCAGAAGAAAGAAATGCAGTTTTTTTTCCCCCCCTTTCAAAATCTCATCCATCCTTCCCTCACTCTTGTCTTTTCCTCCGAGCGGGAACTTGAGCGCATTCTGTCTCAACAAGGGAGTCAGAAACAGCATCAAGTCACGGGAGAGAGAGATCTAATCCACGGGATCAAAATACACACACTTCTTCTGCTCGCATGTTCCACCTTTTTTTTTTTTTTTTTATGGCTGAGCGGCTACGACCACAAGCCAGCTCTTGGCCGCAAGAAACAATGTTGCCACATGACATCACTTTGACTTTTCATTTTGTTCTAATTTATTCTGGTTTGCACAAATTACACCACTCACAAAATTTCGGAGTGCCGGGCTTTTGGCTGCAATTTCAGGAAGAACCTGAGATCCACTCTAGCCTTCCCAGGTGAAATTGCATTTGATCTTCTGTGAGCTTTAGAATCCACTTCTCCGGCTGTTCAATGTTTCGGTGCTGTTTGCACAACTTTTTCCTCGTACGACAGGCAAACTTGGCAGCTGTTTAGGTGCAGAATGGACCAATATGTTTCCTCCTTAAATTAAAATTGATCTTCAAACGGTTCTCTTTGTCGCGCTAAGAACACCTCGCAATTGTGTACCTCGCTATTGCAAGGCTTTAAATGGCAAACAGCCACCGAGTTTAGAGTCAATTGCAGCAGACTGGAAGCGTCCGTCACAAAAAGGCAAAGAAGTCGATGTCCTTGGAAATTAAAAACAAGAAAACGCGTGTGAATGTTGCCCTTCAGTATCTAGTTTGAGAACAGCAAGTTAGTAAGTACTGAAACAAACAGTTGAATTGAGTCGTTTTAAAAGGGTAGGGGTCAAAGTTCACCTGAAAAAGCTCGAGCGTATTTGAGGTTCATCCTTAAATTTTGGCTGAAAGCCCAATATCTCAAACTTTATTGCGAGTTGTGTAAATATATTTTGAGAGGAGCTCACGGCGATCGCCTCTCAGCGGCAGCATCTTTCTGATTGGCTGTCAGCCCAACTACGAGTTTATTTCGTCCACAGTAGCCAAAACACAAAAGCGAGCAAGCTCACGAAGTTATCGTTTAAAAAGGATAGTTGCCAATTACCTGCTTCGCTAGTCTATTGCTGGTGAAAATGAGATTTCTTAGCGCCATGTGAGCTGATATCAGCTAGCTGGGACAAAGGGAAATTTATCGCAGGTTGAAATGTTTTCAACGCTCAAGACGTTGACGTTCTACTTCAGTGAGCTAGCGTAACTCGCCTAACTGCAACGTTAAAATGTCATCGCTTAGTTGTAGCGGTTCTTTTTGACGAGTTAGCATTAGCATGTTATGCGCTGGCCGGCAAATTAAGTTTCCCTTCTGGTTTGTAGAGAAAGATTGTTCTTGAACATGTAGCACAACAAAGTGAGCAAGGCTAATAGGACATAAAAGACAGCAAGGCCTCATGCTACACTCTTCACGCCTGAAGTCAATTTGTACAAGTTGATAGGACTTCCTGTTGGCAACCAGTGTGTTTGAGTTCCATTGATAGCTTGGATATCTATTTTTTAAAAATGTCTGTCTTCCTCTTCTTACCTCCATCATCTCCATCATCATCCTTAGCTGCATGTTTGATCATGACCAATATCGCCATGGAGACAAAGTGACAATTGAGAGACAAGAACAGAATTGTCACATTTATCCTCTTTGTTTGATTATTGTTATTATTAATAATATAAGTTTGCTTTTATTTTATCTCTTGGGATGAAAAAAAATCGATTTTTTTTCTTGGAATAAAAAGAGGAAAATTGTTTCAGACAGAATGAGCTGCTAATTTTTGAAAAGCTGCACGATGACAGATGCAGGTGTGCTACTTAAATGGCGCAACTTGTTCAAGGCCTTCTGCTTCACCCTGTCCGAGTTGTTGGCTGTGTTTGGAATCACTCCCTGACCTGCTCATTTTCAAGGCACTTGTAGCTTTATTGCAAGTTGGTGATTTGGTGTGCCGAGTGTGTAATATGCGTTGTCCCCAATCAAAACTAAACTGGTGACCCTAGAATCGCCCCTGCCCTTCATAATTTCCTCAAAATTTTCACAGGAAACAACGCATAGCTGTATCGCGGTTCCCTTTTGGCAGGTTAAGTGCATCTTAGATTATTTTTTTTTGCAACTTAAAACAACTTAATCGCGACGGTATATTGCAGGATTTTGTGTTGACCCCCCTCCCCCACACACACACACCGTGTGTTACTGTCTACTCATTACTGTTCCAATAAACACGAGCCAGGAGGCCAAGAGTAAAACGACGAAGAACTTCCAAAATTTGGGATCATCTCACGCTTCATAGAGCTAAAGTAGAACGTGCCACTTGCAAAGTAGAACCGGGTTGTGACTCAACTACTAAATAACGCTTCCTATTGCGAGCTATCATGAATTGCAAACCACAAGAGGTGGTTAGGATGGAGGGAGAGTGGATAGTTGCCGCCGGTGCTCTTTCAATCGCGTTGGAGAGGCTACACGCAGTGGCTAACGCTTTAAGCCATTAAACAGCCGGCCAAATGTACAAAGTCATTCACTCACTGGCGTGTCCTTTTAGATCAGGGGTGCCCGTTACGTTGATCGCGATCGACCAGTAGATCAAGGACTGGTCCCAATTCGATGCGAGGGGTGTCAAGGGAAAAAAAAAACATTTGTGTCTCTGTGCATGTTAGTAATACATTTTTTTGTGTTCCTGCACACTGCACCTTAATCATTCTATCAGTCTCGCTTTCACAAAAAATATTTTAAAAAGAAAATCAAATAAAACGGGTAATCTTTAACCGACGTGACGTGTGATGCATCACCGGAAGTTGTTAGCGCTCCGCTCAGCAGTTGCAGCTTGTGATCCGAGTTGTTGCGCTATATCTTTTATCGTTATCATTTTTCTCATTCAGAGTTTGTTTTGTACAATTCACCGAGGGGACGAGCAAAGAATGGGAATCTGGAGGGCCGAGAGAAGCATTTTAAAACGGTACACGAGAGCTATGATCGTTAACAGGCTGCTTAAATGCGTCGCATGCCTCAGCGTCAGGCTATATAGCTCATCATGGCATGCGTGTGTACCTGAGTGCATCGTGCGTGCGTATGCGCGCGTGCGCGGTAACGGGTCAATCACGGGAGGTTGGTTGATCGAAAAGTTGATCTTTGGCATAGTTTTCAGATGCCAAAAATAATCACCATTCTATGATCGTAATGGTTAATAAATTATGGCTTCGTCCATTCTTCCATTTTCTCCGGCTTATTCGGGGTCGTTTCGGGTCAGCAGCTTTAGCAGGGAAGTCCAGACTTCCCTTTCTCCAGCCGAGGCACTTCGTCCAGCTCCACTTCGTCCATCTCCTCGACCTAATGCGCAATCCAACAAAGGTGAAGAAAAACACGTTGCAAACACACGAATGATGCAAACACATAAATACAGAAAAAAAAGTAAGAAAGATCTGCTGATAATCACAGCAACAAAGTGGAAGCAAACATTACAAATCACAAAACAAATGCAAAAAAAAAACAATAAGGAAATCCAAGACACCAACTCAAAAACTACGCAAGAAAAAAAGTGAGGCGCCACAAAATGGACGTTTGCCAGGCCACTTAGGGATCCGTCCTGTATTTTTAAACATGTGGAAGCTGTCGTTTATTTTATTATGATAGAGCACCATGGTTACATGGCTTGAAACATGTTTGTTTATTCAAGTTTGGAGATATCTAATTAACGCAAGACATGTTAGAAGTACAATTAGACGATAGACAAAGGATGGTGGTACAGCAAATGGAAGTTCACGTGAGACCAGAAACTGGGGAGGACCTGGTCTCACATGACTGGTCCTGTAGTGCCCCCTAGTGGCATGGTAAACTTCTGTTTCGTGGCGTGAACTTTCATCATGTTTTCTTGCGTTTTCGAGTTGTTTTTGATTTCCGCAGCGCTCCCCCCGTCCCCACATCACGTGTTTTGTGGTTTCTGTGATTGGCATTTGTTCCTTACGTTTATTACTTTTTTCTGCGTTCATGTTTTTTTTTTTGTTTGCAGCATTTGGCCATTTGCAACATTTCTTACTGTAGCGTTTTTGTTTTGCAGTCGCTTTGTGTGTTTTTTAGTTTACACGTGTGTGTTTGTCTTTATTTGCATTTTTTTGTTATTATTTTTGCAGCATTCCTGTTTGCAGCGGATTTGCACCTGTCGGCCAGCGTAAATAACAACTACAACATAAAATGGTGGTAGTCGATGCCATGTTGTGTCTCTTCCATATGTTTCCCCCTTAAAAACACACACTTTTTTAAATGCAGATGATATAAAGCTCGTAAATAAGAAGGAATTGTATGGCCACAGCCAGCGTCGCCATCGGGTTGCCATTCAAAAGTGACGTCATATTGAAGTCGGTCGTGAACGCGGGTAAAGTTTTTTTTCCGCTTTCACAACTCCGACCTCACAGTTTGAAGAGGTGTTTTTTTGGGGGCGGGGGGTTTTTGAAGGGGTGTTCTAATAGACGTTTCCTAGTCGGAAATCAGAGAAGTCAGGTGAACCCGCCGGGCAGCCAATACAATTCCTTTCGATGTCAGTAGCCAATAGAATTCTTCCCTGAGACCAACAAGGAACGCTTTTTTTGTACGATCAGAGAAGAGGTCTCACTCTTGTAAAGGACTCGCCCACCTTGTTGATATTCCTAGGTTTGTCCAAAGGCTTTATTCACTTAAAGTGATACCTCTCCACCAGGTGTCTCGCAGTCCAACTGGTTATCTGTTTTCCGAACGTCACAGTTCCTCGGCGGGATTTCTCCCTCCGGCAGACCCGGTGACTTCCCCGGTACTGCTGCTGGTCTTTTCCCTGGTTAAATACGCTGTCTCTTGGACCCAACGCTCGTCCGTCACCCCGGTTGAGGCTCTCCGTTTGTCTTAACGCCGTGAGTCCCTGCTAGCGGGACGTTAGCTGGCCAAGCGCTAGCATGGCTGATGGAAAACCTTTGGTGGCCGAAGACAGGACGACGAGACGGCGACACGTTGAAAGTAAGAGAAGGTTGTGTGAAGAAAGATTTTGCTATTCCTATAGAATCCGTGTTAGTAGTAGTTTTTTTCCCCCCTTTTAGAAGTGATGCAGGGGCATGAGTGACTTTAGCAGTGTCCGTTGTTGGTGTAACACTTTTTAAGTGTCTCAGTCTTAATGTCACTAAAGTGTTAGTGAAGTTCTCAGGTAAAAAAAAGTGACGTGAGCAGGTGCTGACGTGGAGCAGGTACTACTAGTACAGACGAGTTGTGTGACGTGCTACAAGCAAGCGAGGAGTGTCGCGGAAGTGAACGCGAGTTGCTGCCGTCGCTTTCCCAGTGCAAACATGGGCTGAGTCAATATTACTATAAAGGGCCTTTTGTGTCACCCCATTTCAACGGTTTCTTGAAACACGGTGTCATTCAGTCTGTGGCGAACACTACATGGCTTTCGACAACACTTTCTTGTAGTTATTAGGGCTAACCCTTTTTATGACCGAGTCTTTAGTTTGAAGTATCTGCCAATAACTCGTCCCGATCCGATACTTAGGCAATGCATTCAGAAAAAAAAACGTGCGTCGGATTTTTCTCAAGCCAAGATAGAAATACACATAGACATGTATGCTCACAATTAGAATTTATA